ACAATATAACAAAATCTGATTACAATTTCGTGGAATTATCAGACATTGTTGTATTTGTTCCAGAAGCATGAGTCACTCGTGAATCATAATCCCACAAACCGATAGTCATTTCCACTCACAGTGTAAAAACGCTGTGAGTAAACTTCAATCAAAATTTTCTCAATACCATCGTCTTGTGTAGACACCACCCTTTAGCCCTACTCATTCATAACTGATTACACGACTGATTATTATTCTGCACAAATATAATCCCACATTCATAAGACAAATTGACACTTATGAGTGGTTGGTTTAATCACCATGACTTATGTTGATTAACCTGATCTCATGGTGTGTATATATATGTAAAAGCCAACAAGTGATTGTTCGTAAGTCAGACAGACAGTGAAATTCTGGTCTCATCGAAATGTCTTCTAATTCCGAGTTTTCATCAGTCGTGTTGTTGATGTGTTCACTTGTCTGTTGCTGTGTTCATGCGCAGTTGGATGATGCGATGAGGAATGAGTTGTTAGCTCTTCACAATAAGGCAAGACAATCTGTTCAAAATGGTCAGCTTGTTGGGCAACCGATAGCAGTCTCCATAAAACCACTGGTAAGAAGAATGATTGTTTAACTTGAGTGTTCAGCGCAATTATGTTTTGATTGAGACAAATTGATTTCAGTGTACGTTTCAGCTGGTCTCACTGTGAACATGGTGTGATGATGCGAGAGAGAGAGAGAGAGAGAGAGAGAGAGAGAAGGAGGGAGGGAGAAGTTGTTCGGTTGATTGGTTGATTGTGGCTGACTGCAGGTAGCAGTTTCTTGGCCACTCAAATGAGGTTATTAGTGTAATGTGTTGTAGAGTAGATAGCTCACTGGTTGAAATCATTGTGTGATTGTAGACAGTGTTCTTAACTGTGCATTTGTTTGTTTTGAGTGAGTGTGCTTAGTGATGTGTATGTTGATGAGAATGGTGCGTATAGGCGAACGAACTTCGTTCACATGGTTCGCGTGAATTCATCAGAGATGAAGAATTTTTCGCAGTTTCTGACTAACTAGTGGAAAAACTAAAAATCTCCTAATTATATCACGTCGACGTGACGGCACTGATGACAACGAGTGACATTCGATACCACTTTATTCGCCTCATCGATTTGAAGAAAATAATGCAATAATTACATTATTAATTGATCAATTAACCGTTTGATTTGCTCACTAATTAACCACATGTTTACAGAAATGGAATGTGGAATTGGAAGCGAAAGCACAAATTCTGTCTGATCAATGTCGTGTTGGACATGATACAAATGATGATCGTAAAATACCGGCATTCCAATATGTTGGACAGAATTGGGCCGGTGCCAAAGACATAAACACGTAAGTGTCATGTGCATTGTGTTAAATATATGAATTTGTTCAACTCGTAGACTTGCAAGCATGTGGTCTGCATTCGCAGAAGTGCTATATCGATCTAATCGACATACACCGTCATCAGATGCACACCTACTTCTTTTCAGACTGTTGCTTTTTAACCAATCTGTGAACGCATACTCGATGCAAACCAACTACGAAACGTCACTCCAAATACCACAAAAATTTAGGAACACACATTTGTGAACCATGCCGCCTGTCACTCCACGCTCGACGATGTGGTTCGGAAGGTCTGTTTGTCAATGATAGATGAGTGAGGAAATATTGAGGACGATTGTGAGATGAACAGAAGTGATTAGTGTGAAACTCAACAAGTGGTTGCATCGGAGTCTTGAACTGATTGTAACGAATGTAACCACAGACCGATGTCACTCAATTCAACTCATCGAAAATTCACTTCAACTAAACACTGCAATGATGTGGTTAGTGTGTTGAGATAGGCTGCATCTCACAACCACATGTTCACATGCTTGTCGAAGATGCACCCACATCTGTGTGCAATCGATAAACTGTTAATAGTCAAATATCTCATTTACCATATATTACTGAATCAGATATTCACAGTCGATGAGCATCAACACAGTCAATCAGTGTGTGGTTTCTTCGTGATATTCATCGACGTTCACACCTACACCTGTGCAGTGAGATCCTTCTTCTCCTCCTCAATTATACATGTGATAATACTCTTGTGATTGACTGTTCATTTTTCCAAATGTTCGGATTCATGTTTCGATTGATTGCTATTGTTTGTTCATTTCTATCAAGCGGATTTCAATTATGGTTGGATGAATACAAGAATTACGACTTCTACACGAGAACATGTCGTATGGGTCAGTGTGGTCATTATACTCAGGTAAGCATTAGAACGATTACAAAGCATTCTTGTTAAAATAACTACTTCAGACAAAGTCGTATAGACACTGACTAGTGATATTGTGGTCGATTCATGAAACCGTCTAACATGGCTACATGTAGTATCCAACTATCCGTTGTCACATACACACAAATTGGAAATGTTCCAGTCCTCGTTAGCACGCTTCTTGTCTGTGTTAGAATAGTCTACACTCTCCCCAACGAATCACGTCTTCCACATCGTTGTGATCTTTGACTGTTGTTGATTTAAGTGAACGATTTATCTGAATGTGTCCTCTTCCAATACCCTATTCAATAGCTCACTGTCACTTGGTTCATTTCAGCTTGTCTGGGAAGACACTACGGATGTTGGATGTGGTGTCACGAACTGTCCGAATTTCCCATACGGACTCAGCATCGTGTGTAACTATGGTCCTGGGTAAGTCATTAATAAGATCATTTTCATTTATTTAAATGATTTGTGGCCTGCTCCTCCATTATGACTCCGTTCTGCATACTTTCTTCATGATCGGATGTTGTTTGTAGTGGAGTTCAATTCGGCTGTTGTTTACCAATATTACTGATACGTTCTATTTTCTATTCATCAGCTCAAACTCTTGTTACTACCTAAATAAACACTTGCTATCCTGAAAATTATTGCCTGGCATTTTTAACTCCGTGACAACAAATGCCTACTTTCGTGACGATCAATATAGATCACTGTTGAATGTTTAATTCAACGTAAATCACATTTCATCTGCTTTAGTTACGTTTACTATGTAACCGAATATTAACGGAATCGACAATGAATCAGTGATCAAAACAAACACTTTTGAATATGAATTTCACTATATTTTACAAACACTTGAATTCGCATGAATATCAGAATGGATGTTTCATTACTAGTATTACACAGACTTTGACATGATGAATATCTCTTTTCAAATTTCTATGTGTAATCTGACTACTGATATCCACAAGTAGTTTCATGAATATCATCAACAATGGTTGATTTCCATTGTAACGAGTGTGGATACGTGTCGATGTTCCAACTTCAATGATAATAATAAATGAACATGAGAAAATCACTGATGAACTTTGTCTCATCGTCTTAATGAACTTACTAACGTCTCATTTTTCTTACCCGATTTCAGAGGCAATTACGTTGGACGCTCACCGTACAGAACAGCATGAGGAATAGTTGGCTTCCGAAATCAATCATTTTTGCAACTGTCTTTTTTACATTTCACATACCATATCATATCACTACTGTACACCGGTGAAAATCGCCTAATTTGTATATTTGTATTGAAGTGAAATTATCTTTTCGAAATAATAATCCATCAAATGTCAGGCTAAGTTTTGATGTCTTTTGATTTCCGCGTTTTATTCCTGTGTGACCGGAGTGTCCGTTGAGGAATGGGATATTGCAATAATTAATTCGTTGCCAGTCGTGTGTCAGCTTACTACCGAAATCCGTTTCTGTCTACAAACTAGTCAGTAGCATGACATGCTTTCACACACAGAAGCTTTACTCCTGCATACTGCAATTCTAGAGTATGATAACTTCTCTATCACTACAAAACGATGAATTTACAAAATACGCGTAACTCAAATAAATTTAGTTTGCTTCCAAATTTTCATTTGTTTGAAGGAAAGAAGATCAATGTCATGTGTGTCAGGTCCCACTCACTGATCAATCAATTGTAAATACATCCCAGTGCTACAGGACGTCAGTCGTAGTCCGGATAACTCAGTGTTCAAGTCTCCGATTGTGATACTGGGTGATACAGGATCGAGTCTGTCAGGGAGCATCAATTCCCATAAGATGACAGTTACACTTTACTGACGAGTGCCAAGTAGCACGAAACCTAGATCCAAGGTTTCCTGTAGACTAATTCGAATCATCTTCTCATCTCAATATAGTACATGTGATGTCGAGTCACTTAAACTAGTGACCACAATGTTACTTGGTCGATAGAATTCGATCTGAATTTAGAAGGACATGACACATATGACATTGCTCACTACCCACTGATCAATCCATTGTAGATACATAGAGTATTTGCTAGCTATCAGTATTTGAATATAACCGAGGTATGTTTCAGCACTACTTATTATATCGAAAACAGTAGTGCAAAAACATGCAACCAGAGGTCAAATTTCAAGTCACAATATATTTCGAAAATAATCAATGAATATCGTCGATATATATATATTTTTTACAGAAAAAGCATTTCGATTTTTCCCCTCAAGGTCATATGCACTCAACTACTCATTTCGTTTTTCACCAATAGAAAAACAAACAACACAGACAACCATTAATTTTTTTTCTTTTTTTAAAAGAATATCGTTGACAACTGTTTTGCATAAATTTTGCATAGTAAATATATATATATATATATTTCAATGGAGGTTAAATACCCATAGAAACTGTTGTAAAAATAAAGAAAAGAAAAAAGAGAAAAAAGAAGTGAAACTAAACAAATCATAATTTCCATGAGCTCTGGCTAAACATTTTCAAAATTTGAATTTCATTAAACAATTTTCAATATTCTATAAATTTATGATAGGAAAGGGAGGAAAATAAAAAGAAAAAAGAAAAAGAAAGAAAAGTAAAAAGAAAGAAAAATAGAAAAGAAAGAAAAAACTATAAGAAATTTAATTCTTTTGATTTTGTTACATATTGTTTCTCAAAAAAAAGAAAAGAAAAAAGAAACAAAACATACATACATACCATGTCGATTTTTCGATTATTATGTTTTTTAATTACAATTATATTGGCAATTTGTACATTAGGGGTTGGTTTAATTTTATTACCATATTGGAAAGGTAAGTTATGAAATATTCTTTTTTGTTTGTTTCCTTTTTTAAATATTTTTGGCATGAATTCTGTAATTAAAGTAAAGAATTACAGTTGATTTATTAATGATTATTTATTTATATTTCACATGTTATTATGTGTAATGTGTTAAGTGCCAAGTAGCACGAAACCTAGATCCAAGGTTTCCTGTAGACTAACTCGAATCACCATCTCATCTCAATATAGTACACGTAATGTCGAGTCACTTAGACTAGTGGTCACAATACAACTTGGTCGACAGAATTCGATCTGAACTTAGAAGGACATGACACATATGACATTGCTCACCACCTAGTGATCAATCCATTGTAGATACATAGAGTATTTGCTATGAAATTTTTTTTTGAATATTTTTGGCATGAATTCTGTAGGTAAAGCAAAGAATTACAGTTGATTTATTAATGATTCGTTATTCATAGTTTACATGTTATTATGTGTAATGTGTTAAGTTTTAAAAAAATTCAGTGGATTATAGAGTTGAGATAAATAAATGTTTAATGTAGATATAATATACTTAGTATAGTTTTAGTTAACCTGAATGTTTCTTATTAGAATGGGAATTTGTAGAGATTGTAATAATTTTAATAGTTGAATTCATGAGTTAATATAAGCTAAGTTACCATTGAAAATCTGAAAGCCGTTTCGACCTAGTATAGGATTCCTCAGCAGTGCGTATCCATGATTCCGCACGCGGAACTCGAACACATGACCTGTGGTCTCACACGCGAACGCTTAGCCTTTAGACCACTGATCTGGGATATAATGGTGTGAATGTCTAACTTCAATCGATCCATAATCTTGTGTTAGCCTTCATTAATTATCTGAAGGGGATGATTGTTTCCACCCGACACAGATTGGACTCATTAGAATTCCTGGAAATCCACTAGTTGGCGCATGATAACTATTATTAGAGTATAGGTTTGTGGAGATTGCAGTGATTTTAATAGTTGAGTTTAATGAGTCTATTTAAGTTAGATTACTCAAAAGGCCATATTACATTTAGTTCATTATGTTAATTTATTGTGATACCTTTTTGTCATCAACTTCAAGAAGACTATATTCTAGAATTTTATTGAAGCTTATGTGATCAGGCTGTTTATTATAAGAAAAGTTGTAGTATCCCATTTGACCAACGATTTACTCATCTATATTACCTGTAGGATTGATGACTTATTTTTCCAATGTCAGCAATCAATGAACGATAATTGAGACCTTAACGTTTGTTGGTTCTCGAGCGACTCTCAATCCATCATTCAATAAAAAGACAAAGTCAATGAACTGTTACTTTCTCAGCTGTGTAGCAATATCATGAGTCTCAAACTCATATAGTAATATAAGGTAATTTTGGCACCATATAAATAAGAAATTACATTGTGTTCATATTTACGTCATAAGTGAAAGGGAACTAAACAACAGATAGATAATGAATTTATAATAATACAAGAACGGTTGAACATTCAACAATCATTTATATACCAAATGAGAAATTAAAAATACAAGAATATGAGAATAAAATAACCTGAATATCTAGTAATTATTTCCAAAATCTACCACCTTTTCAATATTCACCCGATTATAATGTTTCTGTCGTAATATCACTTGATTAATTAATTGAACTATTGAGATTCGAACAATATTTCCTTTGTAAAGTCAGTCGCTCAGTAAAAACGTAGAAATTCGTACGTACATACATCAGTTCGAGTTGCCATACCACATTAGCACAGAGATGCAGTTACCGATTCCAATCTCGTAGTGGTAGAGGTAATAAGAGTATAAGCAGTAATCGGAAAGATTAGGATTTGAAGATGTTATTCAAGGAGTATAGTCCAGTGAAATAGACTTAGAAAGAGAAAAAAAGGACATGAAGAATTCAGAAGATCAGAATTTCGGGGAACATAAAGAGTGGATGCACCTGCGCCATTGCAAACGATTTTGAGCCATGTCATTCAAGGTCTCTAACCATCGGTTGCTATCATCTCGCGGTCCCCAACCAGGTAGTCTACATCTACCAATATGACTCAGTTCACTTGTCAGTGACTTCATGGACTTGTGCCATGTTCCTTTGTAAAGACTGAAGATATGATACAGTTGATCAGACTAAATTTAAATGAGTAATTGATTAAGTAGAATTCCAAAGTTTTGAACTACCTTGGTCACATATTCAATTTCTAAAACTGATCAACTTCTTTACCTAAGACAATCTATCTATTCAATTAACAAATACCATTATTAGATCTAATACAATTTACTGATGATTATTAACATGTACAAAATTATAGTTCGTGGATGCGCACTGCTGAGGAGCCCCATACTGGAACGAAACTGGTGTTCAGTGCTTCCAGGTTTTCCATGGTGGTGATCTAGCTTCGATTGACTCATGATTTCAACTAGTGAAATATATTTTTAGTTTGTTGCCAACAATCTACAACATTACAAACTAGAATGTTAAATAATAAATTATATTGAAAATTCAATTTGACAATCCGTGTCGGGTAGAAACAGGTGTCTGCCTCAGTACAATGGAAGATGGTCGCGCAATTTCGTGGATTGGTTGGGGTTAGACATTAACACCATTGGATGTCGGCTCAGTGGTCTAGTAGGTTAAGCGTTCGTGCGCGAGGCTGAAAGCCCTGGGTTAGGATCCCACGGGGTTGGATCGTGGATGCGCACTGCTGAAGAGTCCCACAATAGGACGAAACGGCCATCCAGTGCTTTCAGTGGTGGTCTAACACTAATCGGTTCATGATCTCAATCAAAAACGTAACAATCTCCACAACCCCTAAAACTGATAATTATATTTTATCTGTTTCTATAATTTATAGATAATGAAGAACCACCAAGAGAAGCTAAAATTCATTTATCATTAAGTTTAATATCGATACTTTTTCTTGGTGCATCAGGTCTTTTAATTCTTGTCTCTATTGTATCTGGACCAGGTAGAACAAAGAAAATAATTATTATTACAATGATATTACTTATTTTAACTAGTAAGTTTAAAGTATTTTTTTTTAGTTTTAACTATTTTTCACTATCATTAGAATGTTTATTAAGTTGAAATGAAACAATGAAAAGGCCTATTACTTCATTGTTTTATTATAATATTTAACATGATCTGGCCCTCCTATCGCAAACGCAACAACAAATGAAGGAGAAGATGACTAGTGTAGCAGCAGCCTTAGAAGCAGTAGATCTCAATACACATAAATGGACAAGGAAGATTCTCCGATACAACACAGCATGCACCAATCCAATCATAATTGGCGGAGAAGATTTGGGAGATGTGAAAACCTTTACATATATGGGCAGCATCAGTGATGAACAGGGTGGATCTGATGCAGATGTGAAGGCACGGATCGACAAAGTAAGATCAGAATGTTTAGAACTTAAGGATATCTGGAATTCAAAACAACTGTCAACCAACACCAAAGTCAGGATTTTCAATACAAATGTCAAGACAGTTCTACTGTATGGGGCAGAAACCTGGAGAACTACAAAAGCCATCATCCAGAAAATACAAGTATTTACTAACAGTTGTCTATGCAAAATACTTTGGATCCGTTTACCAGACACTAACAGCAACAACCTATTGTGGGAGAGAACAAACTAGATCCCAATGGAGGATGAAATCAGGAAGAAGCGCTAAAAGTGGATAAGATATACATTGAGAAAATCGCCCAACTGCACCACAAGGCAAGCCCTGTGGATAGGACCCACATTGAGGAAAGCACACAATTGAGTCACAAGACAAGCCCTCACATAGAATCTTCAAGGCAAAAAGAGAAGAGGAAGATCAAAGAACACATTACGTCGAGAAATGAAGATAGACATGAGAAAAATGAACAAGAATTGGATGGAACTAGAAAAGAAGGCGGAGGACAGAGTGGGTTGGAGAATGCTGGTCGGCGGCCTATGTTCGATTGGGAATAACAGACGTAAGTAAGTAAATACTACGTAGTTTATAGAGAGTCTTTTGTTATAAACTGCCATCGTCCAGTAAACACTGAAAACTAAGAAAACATTAGATAGCTCACTAGAGCCTAATATCATAATGGGTTTCTGAAAGTTCTAATGGAAATTTGTGATCTGTAGAGTCTATTTGGTCAGTTTAAATGTGTGTTTTTCATTACAAAATACATCGCATGAGAATAGAACAGCATTGTAAATATGCACCATTTAATTTTGACTTATTGTCTGAAATATTTTATGCTCAAAATAAAACCTGAACAAACTATTGCTCAATCCCATATGTGATTTCACTTTCACATAGGTGAAAAGTTTAAAACAAGGAAGAAAAAACACACACAACCATCTGATATTGGTTTAACAATTATTATTATTATTGTTATTGTTATTATTATTATTATTATTATTATTATTATTATTATTATTAGCTTTATTCAATATTATATTTTTGGTACAATATAGAATTCTCAGCGTAAAGTATTTCAACAAGTTTCCGTTTCTTTCTTCTTGGTGGGTCCTGGCGATAAATATTGAGTGATCGCCAGCAACCACATTGGCTCTTATTGAGTTTTTTGTAACTTTGACAACGAAAGGCTGTACACTTTTCAGAAACGCAGCAGAATACATCATGTGATTAATAAACATATTGATATATTGAAACAAATAAAAATAGATAACTTGTTGAAATATCTGGATGGCAGGAACAGGTAGCCCAGATGCTTAAGCAGGCTGCCTTAATTGATAACTAACTTCAAATTATTCCTGTTTATATAAAATATTTAGTTAATGATATTAAAGTATGTACTACAGAAAACTTGATCTACAAAATTGTTAGGGATGTTAGATCATCAGAATTCACTTGATAAATACCCTATTTTTGTAATTTTATTTTAAAATTTTAAAATTTCTTCTTTTCTCGTCAAAAACGCTCATATTCACTTTCATGTCGTATTCCCCATTTAGGAGAATCTTAAACACTATTGGTTCGTTGTATCTTTTAGTATGCTATTTTGTAACGCTTCCCAAGGACAATTTTATGCTATATATATATACGTTTGATTTGTGCCTGTTATTGCTCGTGCTTCTGGCTGCTTGTAGAATATATGTCCCCGTTCGAACTTGGACATCTCTCCATAGTTAGCAGGGTTGAGATACATCAGAATAGCTAGCTTATTGGTCTTTGGTCACAGAGTCTTGTTCGGTTCATAGACTAGGTGAACACTGAAATAAATTAGACAAAGAATATATTGAGATGATGGTGAATATTTGTATCTCATGTAAATGATTTTGATAGAGTTTTGTTCTCTGAGCTAGATAGTTTGATAGAAATTTGTATTGATGATGCCGTTCCGATGAACAACGAAAGCTCCATGATCAAATCATCCAACTTTTAGAGAACAAAACCCTATCAAAGATGATATTGATCATTATTCAATGAAATCACTCAATGTTACAGAGATTCAATAGTATTTACATAGTTTGATTGAAGTTAAGATAGTATTCTTAATCGATTTGTTTCTTTAAAATAAACCATTATTAATATTATTGATATTATTTATAAAAAATAAGAATTCTCATTTACATTTATTTTAAGAAAGAGACCAAAACAAGTAGATCATTTTAAGTGAGAACACAAATATACATACATACTCGCATGGATGTATGAACATCTTGATCGCATTATATGAATATCTATTGTTTGTGCAAATGAGATGAATAGGTCTTCCACAATGCATGTATACACTCATTTGCATTTTATTGTATTTCAATGGATATGAATTTACATGTTCAATTTTATATTCATTATTGTTGTTGATTTACTGATGAAAGTAACTCTAAATAAATGTTATAAGTAATAATTTAAGAATGGAACATTTACTGAGGTCATTCACAATATGAAAATCATACATTCATAAAATGTAACACTGTTTAAAATTATAGAATTTCTAAATGTCATTGTTATGTCCTTTGGTCTGTCTGCCGACTTTTGACGCTGAAGATACTTATCATCTAATCCACATTAAGACCTTGGTGCGATAGGCTGACCGACTTAACCTTGAGGCTAGTACGCGTGAGTTCGAAGTGGGGTAGAGAGAAGAAAACTATTCTATCACCTGGTTGGCTGACAAGCACGCGAATGAGAGAAGACAAGACAACTGGAACACTACTCGATCTATTCCCGATATCGTGATTTCAGTTCAGTTCGGATTAGTGTAAAAAGGTACATGAATCAACAAGTGAATAACGCGACCACAACTTACAATAATTAGGAAAAATACAATTATGTCCAAAGCTGGGAATTAGAGTAGAAAAACAGGGTGCAAAATATTATGTTTAAATTACAATAGCTTCGGAACAGAAAAGAGTATGGCAATGAATCATACATCGAACGAAAGCTTATGTTCTGTAGAATAGATTAGGTACAAAAATAAATGTAAGTGTTTTACAAGCTTTGAATAAAATGGAATAACGTCCCGAAAAATAGCTTTCGTAGTTTGTCAGGGCTTTTTGTTTCCCTATTCACGTCAGTCATCTTGTAGATTTATCCGAATATTTACACTAAAATGAACTGGTCATCAGTAAAATGATTAAAAGAGCACTAGACAGTTGTTTCATCCTATTGTGCGTATCGACGATTCCGATACAATGATTGAATGCAGTAATACAAGTTACGATCAATTTTGAAACATACCATACAATGTCTCCAACCAATACTTTACTATATTATTAACCATAACCATGAATCTATGGCTGTTTTTTTGTTCTATTCTAGTTTTATCTACTTATTCGTGATTTCTACTTTCCTTTCTTTTCTTTTTTTTTTGCTGCTTCTCCATCATTTTAGTTGGCTTTCTCTGTGCATCAATTGTATACATGTTTACTCAAGTGAATCATTCTTTTGCATTTTGGATATTTGCATCATTATGGATAAGTGTTACATGTATACCATTTGGTTTATGTATTCTTTATACAAAACCAATTCAAATGGATCGTCTTTAATTGATTAATTCTATAATGTTTATTGATTATCAATGATAATAATGATCTGTTCATATGGAAGTTTTAATTTCATAGTAAATCAAAGCCAAGAAAAGAATACTACTATTATTACTAGATATGTTAAATATGTTTATATATTTCTTGTATAAAATCAATGAAATATCAATAAATAATTATAAATAAATGGTTTTAATTAATATATAATCGAACAATTTCATTATTTGTGTTTTGCCACGTGTATATAACCACTGTCAGGAAAGTCCTACTCAATGCCTTCTCGCGGTGAGAGCGTTTTTTTTAACGAAGTCGTAAGAATGAAAAGAGAATTTTCGGCGCCTTAACCGGATTGGTGGACACGGAGGGTTCACCTATAAGAGTTGGAAAACTCTGCTTCCAAACCGATAGTACACATTGACTACAGGATCGTGAGGGAGCAAATGGAGTATGAACCAATTATTAGTCATCAGCTACCATAGGACTGCATCTCCTGATGTTGCTCCACTGCCTTATGTGTGGCTCCGTGTGTGGCCCTCTAAAAAAAACACCTGCTTCGGTTTGGGCACCGGAACAGTATCACAGCCCACACACACAAATCAAGTAACTTGTTTGGCGCATTTGTAGTCGGTGCCCCTTTTACCAATATTTATGAGTTCAAATAAATAAATAAATAAAATGATGAACATTTAGCACGGAAATTCAATGTAATATTAATCTTGTAAGACAAATTTTAAAAGTTTTGATAATATCCTTATTATGTTCACTGTGTTTAAAACAAAGATATTCAAAAGTGTGATCACTAGACAATGGATGATGAATATAACATGGATAACAAGAAAGGAGTAAGAAATAATTAAAATGTAGTGAACGCCATTATGCAGAAACTATTGCTATGAGGGGCTTTCTACCTGACCTTCATAAACAAAAGTTAAGCGTGCGAAATTTCTCATTAACATTAGTAAAATAAACATAGTGACCCAATATTTGTGTAATACATCATCTCCATAATTAATATTTTAAACAATCTACAGATATTCACTCATGACTTTTAGATGGTGGTTGGAGGTAGTCGACAGGAAACCCTGGACGCGGGTTTCGTGCTACTTGGCACTCATCAGCAAGGTGTACCACTCATCTTGAGAGAGTTGATGCTCCCTGACAGACTCGATCCCGTATCATCAAGTTGTAGTACATGGGTACTAGACAATCTTATTTACTACATCAAATAAATTGTGCCTTTTTCGTATTTCTGAGGCTTTGTATATCTATCGTCTCAAAGTTAACTTAATTGGCAAAGGTATATAAAGCTGTCATTCCAGATTTGTTCCTTTGCTGTCCTTTCAATAGTTAGTCATGAAGCTAAATGTTTTGCTTTTGAAATCATAGTATTTGAAAAAGGTAAATAAATACATTTTACTGTATCCTTAGTAAACTGGATAAGTCAACCATTAATTAGAATTAAGTTGAAAGAAGTAGTGATTTCATTGTAATCTGTAAATAATCTATGTAAATTCTCAATTACATTGAGCTTAAAATATCTGAAATGGTAGCTAATTAGTTTATAGTTCGAATCAAGACCCGTTTTATCGCTAATGCAGACTCATTATAGACTTGGGTCATTTGGGCTTCTGTAGAGTATCAGTATGAGAAGATTCAGTCTATGCCAAAGAGCTAAACTGATGTGAATGAAATAGAGAAGTAAAGACTTGTCCCCTTATTTCTAGTATCTATGAAAATAAGTCAGTCTAATTTTGTTGAATTAAAAATGAACTGATTAAATAATTTTTCTAAGTATTTGAACCGTTTCAGATTTTTACGATAACATTAGTATGTACTTACATGATATAAGTAGCATAAAAATTACCACAAAAATAGCGATTCGTAACATTTTTTGGGGGTTGTTGAATTCACGAGTCGATGTAAGCTATACTATCACTGAGAAATCTGGAAGTACTGGACGGTCGTTTCGTCCTAGTACGGAATTCCTCGGCAGTGCTCACACATATTCACGCGCGAGGAACTCGAACCCATGACCTTTAGTTTCGCGAGCGAACGCTTAAACTCTAGACCACTGATCCGGTATCCAACGCTGTTAATGTCTAACTTCAGTCGATCCATGATCTTGAACAACCCTTCAATTCAGTACTTCCAGGTTTTCAATGGTGGTTTAGCTTAGATCGATTCATGACTTCAACTACTGAAATTACTGCAATCTCCACAAATCCCTATTCTTATAATTTTAGATTGATTTAGTACAAGTATTTAACACGCGCAAGATATCCTGGTTTACAAAACAGTCATCATCCTACTACTACATGATAAACGCTTTTCCCAATTGATTTTATAACGAAATGAATGGCAATTATTTTAGAAAGTCCTAAATAATACAAATAAATGATAAAACTAAGTCTAGTTATTACATTAGTTTTATAATATTCATATTGCTTAGTGCTAAATGTTACATATTGTTTAATCTAAAAAGGTCTATACAGGGGAAATTTTTACTACTCCAGATTTTGATCCGTTCTGCTGCATGGTCTTAAAAATTATATTGGTTTATGTACTTGTTTGGGAGATTCAAATAACTCCTCGAAAAAAGCCAAGAAAGGCTCTGAAAACACTGAGAAGCATCTTATACAATCAGCATTCACTAGAAATTTTGACAGAAACGTCAAAAACGTGAAAAATCGCATGTAGGGTTTCTGATTGGATGATTACTTATATTGTTACTATGTTTAGTAGCACTCCAGAATTTTCGGTAAACCCAAGGACATCTAAAATACTATAAAAACCATATATTTTCTGTATATAAACGAACTTTAGAGTAAAGTGTTTCCTACATATTTAGCGCCTTTTCTCTCGTGTTCAAGTCGCTGTGTATGTCTAGCCTGGAGGTTACTAGGAGAGTCTAGGAACCAAATCTAACGTTCAACTAGCAAGACTTATCAGTACTCTGCTGTTGGACCAGTCAACACGGACTATTTCATAACTTTCTCATACCCATTTTGTTTAGATCCTAGATCAACGGTCTAGACGTTAAGAGTTAATGCGCATATCCGAAGGTCATGGATTAGATCTCAGCGTGCGAACACACCGCTGAGGAGCGCCGTACTACGTGAAGATAGCAGACCAGTGCTCCCAAATTTTCGACGGTGGTCTGACATTGGTCGGTTCATGATCTCAATGTATTTCCGCTTTATTTAAGTATAAATATATGAAGCATTATCTTCTTTAAACGCTACTTTTTCGTAGTCTTAGACCCGACTTTGCTTTCTGATATTCCGTCTGTCCGTGAGATATTATGTCTTAGAGATAGCAAACGTACTCGGTTTCATAATTAAAAGGTTTTGACACAATCGAGACGTTAAAAACTACTAAATCAAGCACAAAATTTAGAATAAAAAACAGAGAATTTATCTAAAAGGAAGTATTACTATCACAAGGATAAACTCAAAATAATTCTAGACATTAGTCCGTGAGGTGTTTAAGATGTCTAGCGAGTAAGTTTATATGAGAAGAAATATTACTTCCTGAAATGATAATACAAAAACCATTTGTAGTATACAATTGTTATATCCCGATGAGAATAATGAGTGGTAACTTTGGGGACCCATTTATAGACCAATACTATGAGTATATTTTTATCGTATAATTGTTAAATAACTAAACTATCCAGACTCATGTCCCTTTTGTTACGAGCTTTATTTTGACCTATGAACTATTATTATACGACTTACCATTCTTGAGTTATGCCCTGTCTATCGATTACTACCTCCGACACTCACAGCCACATTTGGCTAAATCTTGTACAAATGTTGTTTCCAATTTTATGGTACGATGTTGCCTGTCTGGTTGGTATATAAACCCAGTATGTTTGAAATAAATAATTCATGTCGCAGAGGCTGAGATTGGTGTTCTGAACTTAACAGGCTGGGATAGGTGGGAAGCAGGACTGATAAGGGCCCTAGGCTGCTCGTACGTGTCTTATGCGTCATTGGTCCGATCGATAAATTACTGTACTCTGATTGGCGGTATCATTACGTTATACAGTAACGGGGCACACAGTCCACAAGTTATAACAACAATCGTGAAATAACAGCGAGCAACTATGTCTTAAGTCAACAGTAACTGTCATCAACCAAAATGGAGACTAAGAACACAAAATGCGGAGACTGTCACACTTAAGAAAAGTACCAATCAGTGGAAAACCTGGAATCAAAGTCCAGTTGAGGAGTTTTAATTAGAGTGAAACGCGCGTCCTGGATTCCATTGCTAGCTATGTCCCATCTATATATATATATATATATATATATATATATATATATATAATATATTATATATATATATATATATATGGCTGTAATGATAAGTCAATCATATAGTACGAATTTACGTAAATGCTTAAGAGTGTTACACAACGAGAACAAAGAGTTATGGTATTGTATATTCACAAATGATTAAAAGTGAGTTAACTACTAATTATCACTGAGTAATACAAAGGAACACACTAAAGATTGTCGAGTATAAAGAAATAAAAGACCGAATTAATGGACAGAAGGTCGTGAAGATTGTTGAATTTACACAGTTTTTTTCACAGACTGATCTATTTGAATGACCATTAAGAACTAGAAAGCACTGAAAAGCTGTTTCGTCCTAATATTGGTCCCATGGGTAGCGAGTACCAACGACCCCATCTGGGACTGAATTCGGAACCGTAGGTCTTAATATAACGGGAGAATAAAAATATTTTCTGTTTGCCTAGTTATGCTTCTATAATACTACCGGTGACTGAGATTTTACTACTTCTGGCCTAAATCCTCGATTGATATGCGATACATAGCTCGGATCACTTTATACCAGGTACATAATTCACCACCAAAAAGAGAGAACCAAATTAAAAGGCTAGTAATACTTTATTCAACACAGTTACAAGCAGTCTACACTCAAAGACAGTCACTAAGACGAAGGAAGCAATTTTGGGACATCATCATCAGCCCAGGATCAGCAAATACGACGGAACGCTAAAGACCGGTTGGAATTAAGTGTACAAGTACAATGAGGGCAGCTTAGCGAAAATGTAGAAAACGGTTGACTCCATCTGTAATCAAGCGGCCGACAAGATTATTCTCGCACATAAATTACAGAAGAACGCATCATTAGATTCCGAACTTAATTGCGGAAGGGAGTGGATCTCAAATGGAGGAAGACAAAACAGAGTCCATGGCGAACTTTATCGGGATAGTTCTCACTCAGGAGCCTCTTCTCGACGAAGGACTAGACACAAATACAAAGTCTACACAGACTTCAGCAAAGCATTTAACAAGGTGCCGGAAAATAGACTAATCTTGAGACTGAAAAATCTAGGAACTACCGGACCTCACCTAAAGTGTATCAGGGATTTCTTAGTAGATTGTGGACAGAAAGTAAGAATAAATCCCAAATACTTCTATTGGAAACCAGTACTTATTGGAGCACCATAAGCCTCTGTCCTAGGTCCTTTAATTTTTATACTGTATGTAAAGTATATATAAATATATATATGTATTTCGGGGATACAAAGGGAAGCAGGTACAGCATTGAAAGAATGCCTGTACCCGCAGTCCGGTTTGATAAGGATCTTGGAATGACAGTAGGCCATGATCTTAAAACATACAGAGGGCAGCTACCCGTGCAATTCCAGGACTCCTGGGTTTACGATACAAAGAGTGGGTTGAGAAGCTAGACCTCTTTACTCTGCCCTACCACAGATTAAGAGGTGATCTGACTTTGACGTATAGAATAGTAAGAAATGATTTTGGGCCAGATATAACCTCTTGTTCTTCCTACTAAATCAGGAAAACTTAGGGGACATACCAAGCGGGCACACAAGCCAAGAATGAACAAGATGCCCGTGGCATACAGGTTTCCACATCGAGTGATCAATTCTTGGAACCTGTTATCCGAAGAAGTGGCGTCCACCCCTTCAACTGACTCATTCAAGAGTAGACCAGGCTACTAAAATAGGACTAACATAGGCCGTAGGCCTTCTGTCCTCAGTACACAAATCTGGACCTGAATCAAATAAGAAACATCCTTAGATTTCGAGATGGTTCTCCCACAATCAAATTTGATTAATCCTCAACCTATGTGAAGAAGATATACATCTTATGATCTAGTTCCTCTTTTGGATCCCAAAATGTGAATAGACAAATCTGGACCGTATGATTATCATTACTGTTACTTAACATCACTGTACATTTAAAAAAGCTGGACGTACCCATAAAAGAATAATTTTGTCCAGATAATTTCCCAAAGTCAGTACCCTGTTCTTCTAATGTTCTGTTGATTTGTTACCCCTAACCGACTTATTTATTTCCAAACCATTTCTGATTACGTTTGTTTAATTTCAACATTTTATCATATTGTTAGGCAACGTGACTTTATCATTATTCTTTTTCTAATATATACAGCATTGTTGATGAATATTCAAAGCCTCAACAGCTATGTATCTAGTTTATTAATAAAAATAACATTTCTCCTTGATTTTTGTTACTAAGTAAATCAGTATTTAAAATACATACCATCGGTCTTCTCTGTAGTAAAAGAAGCATATATGTACATACTTCAGAATAAATACACTGAAAAGGAAATGACTGGTTGAACCGATCTCGTTTTTATGATGAATATTATCGACCCAAATAACGATACAAAGCCAATTTCCAAATTTTTTATATGTTTATTAATTAATATATTTAGAATTTTGCTTATGAGAACTAGTTTTCAAATATTGTGTAAATTATCCTCTATTAGTGTTGAATATGTGAAATATTCATTCACACAATTGTCAGCTATTGGTCAGTGTGCTTCGTATAAAGATCAAGTTTGAAACCTATGAATACTCAAGTCAGTTTATTAAGCGATAAAATCTGTATTGCTGAACAGTGAGATTGCTTGTGTGTTGATGCCGAAAAATGAGAGTAGTTACGTTCCTGAAGTAACAAAGTTTATTTCCAAACATGACTTTTGAGAATTACAATATAAAGTGGCGAACTGCTTAAATAACTTAAGATTATGTGACTTGTGGACTCGGTAATGGATAATTCTAAGTGAAATGATGAATCACACAGGTGGTTGGACCCCATGCCATCAGCAGATTCAAACATTGAATCTTCATTCAGAATCAGTCACAGTAGACAACTTCAATTGATATTTACCTTACACTTGAATCTTAGTGTTCATTCATACATATTTTTTTTACTAAGTCTTCCCTAATCATATTCTCAATGTTCAGTCTTTCTCATTATCATTGCTATTATGATTATTTCGACTGCGTTATTACTCATCTTGATAATCTAGTCCTGCTGACGTGGTATAGTGACCTGAGTTAACATATATTTATGCTAGGCTCTATGTTGATTATGACTGATTAACTGTAGTGTAGGAGCAAATGATGAATCACGGTTTGGTTAACTCGGATCTAACCAAAGCTAAAATAACCTAGCTACTACTCGTTTACAAAGATTAGGATAATTCATATAATGATATTGGGAAATTGAAACAGGATCAACGTAAACAACATGAATACGCATACAATACTTCTTGATATCAACCTCCCAGATTTCTATGTTGACTTTGATAGTATCAGGATAACGGAAAATACTTATAAATTAAACATGGAGAACTACAACTGAATAGACAGTAATCAGTCAGTCGAAAATATTTCAACTTTATAGGAAGTTCGTCACTGCTCAAATAACCCAGAAGTATAGCGTAAAGCTAAGTGATCCTGGCTCAAATACATCACAAAAGTATCAGTTCTTTCACGATTACAGGTACACATCTTGTTGACAAGTCTCAATCATCACAAAAGCTAAATCTCAAATCCAAACATTTTTAACGTACTGATATGAATAAAACATTTTACAATAAAATATCAAACAACTACCAAAACCACGAAACATTTAGGAATAAAAATATAATTCCATTTTATAAAAACTTTAAGAATTGTGTATAAAAAAGAGGGGGGAATGATTAAACTGATTATCACAGCCAGAAAAAAAGAGAGATTAAACAAACTAATCGTAAATATGATAAGGAAAAAAACAGACTAAAATAGGCCAATTAGTTTAAAATGCAAAAATAATTAGTTACGTTTTTTATTTTAAAAAATGCACTAAACAACTCGTCTACCACCTAGTAACTAAATAAATGAATAAAAAACAGTCAAACACACACACACACACGCGGTGAATGACTTAATTTTATATAAACTAAATTAATTGAAGAAGAGACAAGTTAACATGTCAAATATTTTGTTTGATTAAATGACGAGCTTTTTCAATTAATTGACGTCTTACACCAATTCCCGATTCATGAACACAACGTTCAATAAGTGTATATAATTCATTTGGCATTTGATAGAGAAAATTATTACAATGATTATTATCTTTACTATTAACACCGTATAATAAACTAGTACATATAACCCAGATATTATGATCCGATTTTTGATATGAGCATAAATTATCAACATGATTAGTATGTAAACATGGTGGTGTATCACCATCTGTATCACCTGAAGTAGATATATTACCAAAACAATTGTGTAATTGTAAACCATTGAGTACTTTAACTAAAGCATTAGTTGGTACAGTATGTTCTTTTTCAATGGTCGATTTAAAATGAAAGTTAATTAACTAAAAAATTAATTAAAATTAAAATTTATTGAATTTAAAAATGATATTAAATAAAGAATTATAATTACTGAAAATTTAAGCATAGGAATAACTATGTATGTGTAAACCATACATTGAGTTGAAGTACCTAGACGAAATTGGATATTGACCTGGTCAATAATGATCTATTTCGTTGTAAAACGAATCCTGTTGAGAAGGCTTTATAGGAAGAAGAAATGGATAAGTTCTATATCCACAATATAATTTTGGTTGATGTTTTTTATCAATATTCCTTAAGTGAAGCTGCTATAAAACTTCTATGGCATAGAGTTGAACAAGTCTACTGCCCTACACGAAAATAGGGCTTATGGTACAAACTGCTATTCTGAGTGATGACAAAATTGAGGTTGTAAGAAACTTATTTATTTGAACACATAAATATCGGTACAAGGCAACGAATATATGTACACCGCACTTCGTCATCTAATTTGTGTAAGCGCTGACATCCTGCCCTAGCGTCCAAACCGAAGCAAGTGGTTTCCTTAGGGGGTCACTCCATTAGCCTTCGGCCTAGAGACCTAATCCACAAAGCAGTGGAACACCTCTAGGAGCCTCTAGTAGCCAGTGACCAACAATAGGTTCATACGCCATTCGTTTCCTCAGGATCCTGGAGCCCATGTGTACCAGTGGTTTGGAATCAGGGTTTACCAACTCCTTTAGGTGGATCCTTCATACCCACAAACCCGGCTAAAGCGCCGGACATTCGCTTTTTGTTCTCATAACTTCGTTAACCGACACTTACAGCGAGAAGGCAGTGAGTAGAACTTCCTTATCAGTGGCTATATATGCATGGCCATGTGAAAGTATCTCGAGAGGGAGATCGGGCTCCCCCCACCGTCGGCCGTACCAGGGCACTTGGGGGCATATATATATAAATCTTGTGAATTGTTTTACTATCTATCCCAATTTGATTTGATGTCAATAAGATCTAAGTAATTTATACAAAACTGTGTAGATTAGTGCAACACGAACCATCAGGATTACAATTCATTACATACAAAGAGTGAGTATATACAGTATTTCATAACTAATACGAAAAACTAGTGATCATGTGAATGACTAATTGGGTAAACTAAAATATTTTGATGAAATAATATTATATATGCACAAACAACAAATATCAGTCATGAGACTGCATTAACTTTATTTACTAATGCTATTCAACATTTATTTCTGAATCTTCATTCTTTCTACTCTTTAAACACAGTTGTTATTCTGAGCTTGTTATTGGTGAGCATTTGAATTATACCATTTTTGATACTTTTGACTGTGTAGATTACCGTCATATACTACTATGGGAATTGGTGGATATGGTAGTACTTTAACAGCTGAAATGAAGAGTCGATCTGAGCTAGACCACTACTGAAAAGGATGAAACAGTTGTCCACTGCTTTCTGGTTTTCAATGGTTAGTTAACTAAGGTCAGTTCGTGATTAGAACAATAAGTATAAGGCTTTGAACAATGGTGAAAGGATCGTAACCAAACTCATCCTATACATTACACGGGAAAAAAAAAGCTTTGAAACAATCATATAATATCTGGAATGATCAGTTTTCTTGCTCTCCTGATACTTAAAATCAAGAAATTAAATCAAATGCAGTAAAATGGTAAAGGGGAATAACTTTATAAATATTGCTATCTTATGCTGGATATGAACGGGGCAGAGTTGAAAAAAAAACAAGTTAGAGGTGACTGTAACTAGGATGGATTCGTATATATATATATATATATATATATATATATATATATATATATATATATATATATATAAGATAAGATAATTTTAAGAAAATGATGACTGAATCAACATTTCAATTCTAAATTTAATATGAATAACCATATAAAACCATTTAAAATTAATGATGTAATAACAAACTATTGGATACTTACTGTTTTTGTGTCAACAATAATTGCATGTCTTAAATTTGAAATGGTTACATCATATGTTGTAGGATCTACTAGAAATAATGAGTTTAAATCAAAATCTCCAAGGTATATTGTATAACCATCAGATGAATTATGTTTATGCATATCATGAATAAAACTACCATGATTCATTTCATCAGCAGATTGATGCTCTAATTTCTCTGGTAGACTGAGAATATTTAACAAAATCTGTAATCTTATCCATAGAGGAGCCTAAATAGAAGAAAATGAAATTGTCAGTGAGGAGTTGTGGAGTTTGTTAAGTTTTAATTGAGATCAATGTTCGACCACCATTGAAAACGTGGAAGAGTTAGACGGATAGTATGAGACTCCGCAGCAATGTTCGAGCAAGACTGAAGATCCTGAACCTGAGTATGTAGACAAACATACCTTTTCATACACATATGTCAAGTTCATATATAAAAATAACAATGACTGGATAGATTAGAGTACACCTCATATGACCAAATGTTAGAAAAAACCACGTATTAATACTAAATGCTACGTGAGCATTGCACCGAAGACATAAATAGATACGTACAGCTTACTAACCTCCAATCATTTCATAGGTCGTTTTAAAGCCATAGAATAAAACACAGTAACCATTGAGCAGTATGCTCATCCTTTGGTTGTCAGATGGGTAATTAAAAGTATAAATAAGTAAAAATCACGTCGTCATCAAGAACAGCTTTGACAAGACACACATCTACATTAGTAGAAGAATAAGAATATAAGCAGGAATTTCATATTTAAAAAAACCCACTCTCACTAATCATCGCCTTTTGTAGGTATACAAAATAATGTTATCAGTATTCATTTACTCTATATATCAAAGAATTTAAATATTTTACTTCAACATCATTTACATCAAGAAATACCATCTCATCATTGTCAACACAGATAAACTATAAAGCCTGTGAAGCATAATCTAATTACTTAATTAGAATAATACTTTAAACTTTATTTCACTGCCTTTTTCGAAGATAGCATTTTCCTCTGAAGTACATATATATGGCTGAAGGATGGTATAAAAACGTGCAGATCCACCAAGAACTTAGATCTGAAATGCATAAGAAGTTCTAAATGGTAATGACAATTGTATTGCATAAAACTTTCTTGACCAGTAATCATTGTTTCAAGGCTTCTCTGTAATTATGAAGTTTTTTCTTATACAAACTAACTATTTAGATCTATGTGTATATGACTTCAGTCAGGGAAGGTTGTTGAATCGTAGTGAGAAAATCAGGTGGCAACAGTATTAACAGAAAGTCAATTGACAAGAGTACTAAAAAGATTGTTTCAATGAAGTCTGGGCAACTAGATTCACATTATTACCAATATACGATTCTAATATATCAAATGACATAGATAATTGTTTGTCGATACCAATTTATTGAAATTAGCTAGGAAACTGTGAAAGCAAGTAGGGAATTATATAGAAATGGGGAAAAAAGCAGAAACAGTACCAAACAGAAATAGCTAAGTGGTACACCATGATATTCTTCAACAGACCAGCGTCCACAAGAGCCTAAATAACTTGGAAAAGGCCAATTTTCTTTGCGTGGAAACGATTGTATGATTACACTTTGAGGATCGATTGCCAAATTAAAAAGGAACATCAATTCATCAAAACGTAACCAACGAGTTTCAGCTCCAAAGCTTGTTCGTTCTAAAAATCTAAAATATAATAGTGTAAATATGCTTATTTATTAATTAGAAATGCATTCGCTTATTGTTGTAGCCGTTTGCTCAAACTATGTTTGCATAAAATAAGTACGATAATGAGTTTTATAATAATTGGAATGTTAATCATTCGTTCAATCTCTGTTCTATTATTTAGTAAGATATTTTTAAGGCCCCTCTGATAACACAAAATATCTGCCTGTCACTTGAAGGTGTTCAATAGCTATTCCTTCTGCTACCAACCAAACAAATTACATTCTGCTTGCGTGAAAGACATTAGTACAAAATCAGTAATATTAGTTTAGTACAGATATTTTCAATACCTCTTTTGAAGATGTTCAAACAAACGATCGCTAGAACACCGTGTGGCTGGAGCAAAACTTGATTTTACAACACTTTTATTTTCCACACTTTTTTGATTTAGTGAAGGAATTGGAACTGCCAGAACTTCTCTGCCAAGCGGAGATTCTACTGAGTTACTAAATGGATCATGATTATCAGCATTTGTTGGGCGCCAGCGCCAAATCGAAAGATGTGGTATACAAGAAAGATTAGCTAGAAGAGACTGTGAAAACATATGAGAACCTTGTCTCAAACCTCGTCGACAAACAGCTTCATCAACGGCATATGGCGTGGCTGGACTTCCAAGACGGCGAAGAAGAACATATCTAGTATTTTCATAAAGACCTAAAAACATGATGATTAACAACAATATAAATACTTCAATTATGTAAACAATTACACAAAATGAATACAAACAGTAAATTACCTCGAAAATGAATTATATGATGAAGTTAGGAAAAGTGGAACGACAAAAGAGACAATAGAGGGAATTATCGACATGGCGTAATAACTGAAGTGGTTGAATAAATCAAAGCACTGGAATTTTTAATAACACCTTTAACAAATTACAAGAACCGATCAAAAAATTTAGATTGATCCATGTAAAACTTTAGACAGCAGGTTAGATACGAATATGTACTGCATACCAATTACAAAACACGCGATTATCGTAGAGAACCGATTTATCGTTGATGAGAAATCACACAGTAACTTAATAAAGTGTGAAATCCATACATTAAATACATCATTTGGACAACATCATTGAGATGTCTCTTACAAACATCATCGTTCCTTCATTCCTATTTTTATTTCGATTACTTCCAGTTTTCTTCTCTATTCTCTTCATTTCAATCTTTTGCTCAGTCATTGCACTTCCGAACGGTGTTACATACTACTTATATCTGCCAACATAAGTAGCATACACCATACTATCATTTGTTCCGTTTGAATCATTGTAAAATACAATTTAAAAAACAAGCAACATATAAATATTTGTTTATTTTCAAAATTGTCAAACATTTTCGGTTAGAAATATTTTCACCTACAAGAAACGCTAATATATGGATATAAATAAGTTTTTGTTAGGTATTGTCTTACTATACCATCAATTATTTGTCATCTTTACACTCGCTTTCAATATAATCATAGGTAGTAATTTAATTTAATTGTGGAAATATATGATAGGAATAATAGGTATGATACAATAACGTTTGTCAGGAAAGCACTTCCAATCTTGTATTCATATATATTATCATTCTACTGTGCAGTATAGTAAATAAACTAATCAAATTATCCTTAATAAGTTTCCATTTGTCATACATCACATTAGGCGCTTGTAATGAAGCAGGAGGCAACAATTGTGTCGAACAGGAAATATTTTCCTGATTTTGTCTGCCTTTTCTAATTGCAGTAAGATGAACAGAGAGAAAGTTAACGGGAAAGAAAATATAACATTCACAACTATTACAATTTGGAGGAGATTTTCAAAAAAGTTAGCTTTTAAACTTAATGACAGGAGATGTAATCCATTTACCGAAAAAAGATTCGAGTACTTGCTTTTAATACAAATACTAAGTGTGAAAGATAGTGACCAGATTGAAGTAGGTAGAGAGGGACATGTTTCTAGTTTGTTTATATTCATTTTGACATGGAAATGGATTTTACACGTTCATGTTTGTCTAGCGGTTCATACGTAAATTCCAAATAAAAATGTATCGAAAAAATAGGATGCGGTGTATTTATTTCTGATTCCAAGTAAATCCTACAAAAACCGAGACTAAAAGATCCACACTGTTTCTGTAGTATAATGCTTACATCGATTGTTTGATGCTGAGGATTATTTCAGCAGCTTGAAACTACAGAAATCAGATAGGATACTAATCAATATACACTAAATTTAAAATTCACTGATACTGATAAAAGGTGGCGTAGTGCAACAGTTGGCATCTTATATCATGAATACCGAATATGGAGGGTTCGATCGTGGAGCTTTAAGGACCTGAGCTAACAATCCAAGTCTTTGAATTCATAAGAAATTTGAAACACTCGTCATTTTGCATCGGCCAAATTAAGTTTGACAAACAATTTTACTTATAATTATTATTTTCGATAACCTTCGCTTGTTTATTTTTCGTTACCTCTTTCTACAAATATACGCTTCATTGTCTAATTATTCTGAATGTGTTATTTCATTGTTTATTTTTCTAAGTTGTTGACCTCTATTACGAAACACTGATCCAAGCCTTTATTATTCTTATCACAACTAGTACACCCGTCGTCATACTACTAATTTGTACATTTTACGCATTAAGTTTTTTTATAACCTATCCTATTGTTATCACTGACTCATAAACTGCCTTGATTGGTATAATATTTTTATATCTGCATATAAATATTATTAGCGTATATTAGAACAAAGCCTGATGAGGATCTGATTGAAAACGACAATATTCTCATATATAATCTTGGAATTCTTGAGGTGAGTTTCAAAGAACTGTTTCTGTAATTTGAAAGTTTAATTTATTCAGAAACATCCAGCTGATGAATCCTAAATAGAACAAAACGAGCAACCTAGATTCCATAGTTAGGCACAATCCATCTCTTCTATATCAAAGCAATCCCTACCAGATGCCCATATATGCGAACTAATTCAGCCAAGGAGATCAATGATGAGATAATTCAAACTCAAAACAAACTTACCCATAGTAGCTTTGTATCCAACAACAGGAAAGGATAACCCATCTTTGGTAGATTGAAAAATATTAGTTTGACTACTAGTGAATCGAATTTCTCCACGATAAAAATGTGGACAAATAGACTGTCCAGCACATCCAGGACATTTTTTCACCTCCAACATATCAATGTCCAAACTCATGTTCCCAAAAGAAAATGAACGGAAAAAGAAATAATACACGCTAATTAGTAGTAATGTTGAGAAAGCAACTACAATAATGGATAGTAAAATCCATTGAAGTTTTGACTGCCCATTTACAATATTGCGTTTCAAGAATGACTTATCACCATTTGTATTTCGACTATAAACTTCAGAAACCTAAAATTTCGTACAAAAAAACCAAATAAACATGCAAATATTGTTACTAATTTTATGAAGAAATTGGAGGTGACTATGTAGAATAGAGCGAAATATAAACTTTACTTATATACATAGATTTAAGCGTATAAAATATTAAATAACTGACCTTGGGTAAAAACGGGACACGATGGCTTAATTCCATATTGTGAAACTCTAAAATAAAACAAAGACTACTAGGTGTGGATAACATTGTATACCAGGCAAAGAGTAAAAATGATCATTAAAAGGTCATTGTATAATATAGTTACAATATTTCTAAAAGAAAGAATACAATTCCTGTATTAACCAATTTTAAGGAGTAAAATAGTACTGGACCAAAAGATTACTAGATTATATTGCCAATAACCTAAAAGTCGATTGTCTTAATAACAAATGAATAAACGCTCAGATGTCATCTTCATGCTAATACTGAGTAGTTCTCTACTGAAGATAAAAAATTATGTCTAACAGTAACCAAACAAGATAGCACGGAAGGCTGTATTCATATCCATAGCAGGTCATCTAGGAAAATAACCTTTGGTAATTAAACAATACAGATGAGAAAAGTCGGCGAACGGAATCTGAAACTTCAGGAGAAGGGTTGACTGTGAGAACTGTATCAAACAGGATGAGATTAGATGTGTTGGTCCATTCGCAAGGTTGGTTTGTCTGTTGCGTTGTGATGTTGTTGGACTCTGAAGTTTCAGCTGAGTGATGCGCGAAGACTTCTGCTACGTTGTTTCAGGCGGTTGTATTCCCATGGTCTAGCGTGGACAGCTAACTTGAAACCGGCGGGGATTACAGGAATCAAACTATCCAATTAAAACACGGGATTGTAGTTTCCACTAATCTGTTTTGACGAAATGTGATCTCGACCCAGAGCTCTGTACAGATTTGATTAGATGAGGGTAAACGACGGGAATAACTAGAATCACAAATAGTTTATACACCGCAAGGACGAGATTTACTATAATGATTTTCAATACAATTAAATGATTATCACATTTCAAAAAGGAGAAATAGTATCCGATTGCTCATTGTCACTTCAAGTAGTGTGAAATTCAACCCTCTCAGCGAAATTTGTATTAAACTACATAGCGATGCTTCAATACAATATACCTAACAATAATTACACATGTCTTTTCTTACGCTATAGAAAAAGATATACTTATGGTCCAACTAAGATGTCGGAAGTATTTTAAGGTTGATGAGCAGCATAGCTTGCAATACAATATCCAAATTTCTCTTTTAGGTTGCATTTATCAGATGGGGTACCAATAAAAATCAAGGAAAACTGGACAGTTATTCCGTCCTAATAAGCAACTCTTCAGCAGTGTGCACGTACAGCCACATGACGGATAAGACTCAAAGCTATCAGGTTCTCAAGCGTATGCGATACTTTTGGATCATTGACTTAGAAATTAATGATATACATTTCCTATCTCAATCAATTCATGACGAACGCCTAACTACTAGGACCACAATTCCAACTTCGATTAATATGCGTCATAGGTCGACGATCATACGACGTCACTGATAATAGCTGTTTCACTCTCGATTTAATTGAACTTCATTAACTTATCACAAGGACTTCTGGAATATGTTGAAGGGGTTTTGTAAAGACCGACTTAATTAGTAGGTGGTATTCGTCAGGGATTGGTCTAAGTACTTCCTAGTTCTCGACAGTACTTCAAATTAGATCAATCTGCGATAAACATAACCTATGAATTAGACCAAACTCCACAAAACCTCTTCAACTTAAACATTTTTCTATTTTCAAGGTGATAAGGTAAGAGTATCCGCTAGCGACTAACATTGACATAAGAATAGGGTCATTTAGGAAATTGGTAAGAGAAGTAAAAATACGAACAGATCTGTGTATATTATAAAAGTTTTGATTGATAACAATTTGTGTAGAAAGCTCCAGATCAACTTGAAACTTTAGGTCACAAACATATCACGAATTGGAACTAAATAAGATATATGCGGACAATTTTATTTTTGACTAGATTCTGAATACTCTTGAAGCCTCATGACATAAACAAATGTCAACATTATCCCATAAATTCTGTCGTCCTCATTAAGAAATACGTAACAAATTAAACGTATACAATAATGTTTAATATACAGAACAACTTTTTATTTGACGTCATTACAATTTGGTCAAATACCAAAATGTAATAAAAGTTGGTTTGAATAGAAAACAAATATCTAAAATCGTTAACTCGATAGTTTGTGAACTCTATATCTGAAATATTGAATTACATATTCCATAGAATAGATAGATTTTAACTAGTAGCGGGATTCAACACATGCATCTTTTTTGTCATGCTTAAGTACTTGTGAGCTAGATGTACCTGTATGTGTTGATATTCACACTGGAATTCGAACCGAGTATCTTTCGCTTCAAATACCCAATGCATTATCCACTATGCTAATGAGTAGTTCATGAAATCAACAATTTATTTTGCAGGTATGATGTTTATGTCAATATTAGTAAGGATTTGAATTAGGCCGTTGTTAATATTTAATAACCAAATTATGACCAACCTTTGTTATAGTACAGGTAAATTCTGTACAGATTGTTCTAAACCACGCTATCATAAAGACATTAATATTTGTTATCCATTAATTTTGATGTTATATCTAGTGAATTCAATACAACACTAATGTGAATATCACTGGTTGAAATCATGAGTCAATTGAAGCTAGACTACTATGGAAAACCTGGGAGCACTGGACGGCCGTTTCGTCCTAGCAGTGCGCATCCACCATCCCATCCCCCTCGGGATCCGAACCCAGGACCTATCAGTTTCGCGCCAGGCGCTTAACCAACTAGACCACTGAGCCGGCGTCCAACGGTGTTAATGTCTAACTTCAACCAATCCACGAAGTTGCGCCACCGTACACCATTGTCTTCAGTGAGTTCCCATCTCACAACAGACCTAGTTGAACTCCACTGGTAACGACTTCTCACTACAACTCCAGGAGTATCTCCTGAAGTCAGTCACTAGTGAGCAGGTGATTATTATTATTATTATCAGAATGGGTTTTGTGGAGATTTTTTAGAAATTTCACTGGTTGAAATCATGAGTCAATTGAAGCTAGACTACCATGGAAAACCTGGAAGCAGAAGACGGCCGTTTTGTCCTAGTATGGGACTCCTCAGCAGTGCGCATCCACTAACTAATGTGAATACTTAGAAAAATGATGTCAATATGATATTAAACATATAAAATTGCGTTTTAATACAGTCAATACCATTCAATAAGATGCAAAGAAAAACCAACAACAACACTTCATTCTATCGAAACAAAACAATCATATTGGGAAAAGAAATCTGTACATATATAATATCAGTTTATTAAAAACAATAATATCATAATTAGTAGTAGTAATAATAATGGTAGTGAGTTCTTATTTTAAAGTAAAGTACGACATTGTAGTGGAATTGTTGTTGTTTATTTTTTCTTGATTAATGAATTGAGAAAATCTTCACATTATAGGCTGGTACACTCATACATAAACATATACACATACACTTAAAATAATATAAAGAAGATGATAATGATGATGATGATAATAGTAATAATAATATGAAGAATAACGATAACAATAGTAATGGTAATGATTTTCCGCAAATAAAGAAGAATGGATAGTGCGACAACGAGTGGTGTTACTTATATGAGAATGAATAAAACATACAAATAAAAAAGCGTAGAGAAATGCATTGTTTGTCTATTTTATTTTAATGTGAAAGGGAAAAACAAAATTTACAAGTTAGCAGATATATATATATATATATCCAAATGGGTACGGAAGAATGGTGCTAACACCAGTACGGTATCTTATGGGAGGCTATAAAATTTAGGAACAAAAGGGTAAAACAAAATGTGTGTGTGTGTAGATCAACGGTTAGAAAATACAGCTGCCGGTATTAATATTAGACAATAAATGATGTGTGTGAATGAACACCATGATCGTCGTTGTGTATATATGTGATCCAATAATATTTAACAAAAAATTGGCGTACATTCACAATTCACATCTTCTACGACCAATAATAAATCAAATCAAGAATGAGCCAAGAACTAGGAAGAAAAAATAGATAAAAATTGGTAGATAATATACTGTAGAATAATAGAAACTTTACAGTTTTATCAATTCATTTCTTTAAAATAATATCGTCTGATCCCTAAATGTGAATTACTTATATTAAATTACTCTAATGTAACCTATGAGTCCTAACAGAATATTCATGTTAGACTATAATTTTATTATCATTATTATAAAGTGTTTGAACTATACAGTTGTTGATGCTAGAGATTGAACTTTGATCAATCTTAGTTGTTTGATATGTGTGTATCCTGAGCGGGATATAGATATATGTGCATTTTATCATGTTTTTAGAAAAGGTGATTCACGGTTCACACTGGGGAACGAGATACGTGCTTCGTTCTATTTGGGACTCGTCAACCGGACACAATTACATTCTACTGATGATATTAAACACTCAGTTCGAGTCTAAGTGTTAACATCAATACTGGGATTTAATACCACGAACATGACAAGATCAAAATAAAAAGAAGTGTATGTTTATATTTTATTCCTATACACAAATCATTTATTCTGTAGGCTTGCTAGGTTTGAAGAGATTACGAGTTCACCCAATCTGTGAACGGAACGAAGACTCAGTGACCAATAAGCTATTCCGATGTTAACTAAAGGGAGAAGTCCAGGTTCAGAAGCACAAACAACAACAATATGCACAACTCAATCGCATATATACAACATAAAAATGTCCTTGAGAAACGTCACAAAATAGCATATTAAAAGAGACAACGAACCAATAACATTTAGGGTCCTCCCAAGTGGGAAATACAACATGAAGGTGAAAATGGGCGCCTTTGGCGCGAAAACAAGAAATTCAAAATTTTAAAATAGAATCGGAAAATTAGACATTTACCAAGTGAGTTCTGAGGATCTAACATCCCCAACAAGGTTACAATATTATTTACACCCAACCTTTCTTGAAAATGAAAAGATAGCGTGGCATAGATTTAGTTAGCAGTGTAACGCAAAAAAGAAAATTAAAGTAAACTAGCAAATTATTCAATAAACCCCCCTGACCTCTTTAATCCAAGGGTTCAATATATGAGGCAATGAAGAGAGTCAGGATATACAATTATATAGCACTTTGTTATAACAAGCTCTTTTGTCGTACCGGAGACCATATGCTCCTATCGTTCACATTATAGTATCTTAAGTATCAGATATCTATACTCTTCCTCATTCTTTATAAGAACGTCTCAAATGCAAAAGTACTAAGAGAATAACTTTGCTAGCAGTAGGTAAATAAGCACAACCCTGTAAGAGCATTCTGAGGTTATTTGATTCTTTAAACATGAGAATTTCCCATAGCATTCATTCCACGGTCTGAAAATCCAACTATCAATTAATAGGTAGCGAGTGTAAATCTAGCTTTACTTATTTAAGTTTAGTTAACCATTTTACAATAAATATCAAATGACAATGGTCAATATACCTTATACGTTTTCTTTACGGTTATATACTTATCTGGTATGAGAATTTTTATTTCATACATTGGGCTCAGAAATTTTTGTTAATCCTTTGATGACAGTACCCACTCTGCTACGTCATACGATTACTATTTCTGACGGTTATAATATGAGAAATTTAGCGTAGAAACTATACTGAACTCTGTGGAAGCACCAAAGATGAAACTAAACAGAATATTGAATCCGGCAAAATCTTTAGTACGCTATGGTGATAACGTATCAATACCATAAGATATTACAGATGAATCATTAATGTTAATGACTATAAAATGTAGTAATGTTAAAGATGACCTAAATAAAAGAGAAAAAAGTTTGAATAATTGTAGTAACATCCGTAGCCTCAAGGTAGGTTGGAATGTACAAAGAATATCAGCTTTCTCAATGTAGTTTGGTGAGCAAGTTTTTTGGCATATCCCATGAAATATAAAATGTAGGTCCAGGGTCTTAAACCAGATAGTCCCAGTCATTAAAAATTACTACGTAATCTGACGTACCAAATACTTCAGATGATACGCTTTATAGAGTTATTTACAAGATGAAAGTTGGCATGATAGTACAAAGTGAACTGATAAATATCATCGATATTACTGTCCTAAATAACCTAATGTAAATTATATTCGTGTGTGCAGCCATCACCCAAAACGATCTATTGTGTCATTTTAATGTTATCTATAGAAAAAAAATTGATCCTATGAACACACACTTTACAACAGAATGTATCCATATACAGGAATGAGATAGAATGGATAGATGAACAATTACTACAGGTGACGTTTTGAATATGTTATGTCGTTATTTAAAAAATAATAGAATAACAATAATTTAGTGTGAAACCCATTAGGATGTTATTTGTATTAACTTACCTCTTTAACAGTGGAATTAATGAAATCCTTGCGATCAGATAAGTCAATATTAGGATAATTAGCAAAAATCTAAAATGTATGAAATAATAAACAAGCATATGATTGATTTGATGAGATAGATTCAGGAAGAAACAAAAATTAAGACTCAAAATATCAATTACATTACTAAATTCATATAACAAAACTGAAATAATCATGACATGGAGCATGCATAAACTTATGTACAATAAAACACAATAGCATAGAACATCGCACAGAATGCGTTGGTTCGAGTTTTTAAACATTGTGATAGCACTGGAAACGAAATTCAAAAAAGAGAAGTGTTAATAGGATAAAGTTCAGACAATCTGACGCTCGGATCAGGTTTAAGAGTATAGTGATTGACTTATTTTCAACCAGTTGGTGATGGTTAATGGATTGAGAACATGTTAGAAGTATTTTCAATGAATGTTATGCACCCTAATATGTTTTCATGACTGTATCTTTCGTTATTTATTGAAATGTACATGCAATAACTATTTACACTAGTATAATGATACATTAACACATATATACAAATAACATTCTATTAAAAATTCATTTCAATAAACGTTTACCGGTGTGTTATAGATCCCGGGACACGAACACAATAATCAACGCTCTATACTAACATTTATAATAACCATTAGTAAAATTTCATTATCAAGAGGATCGACAATAAACCATAACTCCTTTGTTACAAAAAAAGGCCGTTTTATTTTATGATGAATGAGGTTATTCGAATCAAGTTCGCTAAACACTTGATCTAAGCATTAAAAAACAATCATACTTAAAGACGAAAAACATCCGAGAAATGCAAACAACCACCTTGTACAGTTCATATCACTTCTAAGTCAAATTATACTACATAAACTAGTTTCATACACCAACCATTTTTCGTATAATTGAACCTTGATACTGAAAGTGTTAGGTTGACCGTCGAAAATTTTTTACAACTGTTATTAAGTCAAAAACATTGTTTCAAATTTATCCAGTTTGAATTCTTACTACTTTATTCCAAAATTACCCCATAGGCCTAGAATAAGTACTTACAATAGTGACCTTTAATCCACTCACTTTGTTTACATTGTCTTTTACTGTTTTTCTGCAATTAACGCCATATTCAAAACGTCAAAAAACATATTGTAAAATATCATTGTTTTTTGTAGAAGCAGAAAAAACTACTATTTCTACCTAAGTAATAGCTACTTGAATAGTGCTCCGGAGAAGGTAAACGAATGTTGATAGACTAGTGGATATTGGCCATAAAATAGTTGAGATCTATCAGTCTGTTTTTAAGTTTACATTGTTTGACAACATATTCATTTTGATGACCTCGTTAACGCTCAGGATCTTGATGACATAAAATGGTATATTGTATATTTGATCCAGTTATTCGTGGGAGACCTTGATAAAACAGTCAGAAAGTTAGGGATAAGATGCCCAAAACTAAACAAATTAGTATTTAGTAACTTAAACCATGGATTTGTGAAAAATAAACTATGAGAACGACCAAACCAAGATGTGGTAATAGTCTACAGAATTACTGATGATTGGTTTCCTCGTGAACATTGTGATCAATTGCTGGAGTCTTTGGATGGTATGGTTTAGAATTGATAGCAACTATGCAAATGCATTCACCTTTGATTTTCTTTTAGATTTTGAATTCGAAAGTTATTTCAAACTTATAACTCCCCAAATTCATCCATTCAACCTGAATCATATTGCTTATGTCTCAGTTTTCCTACCGCCACTGGTTCCACTGTTACTTCTAGTACTCTGAAATGTGTCCCAGTAATTTTATCTCATGGTCCAGATGTAGCGTGGCAACTTGAACCGATACGTACACGTATATCCTATGTTCTACATTGCTTATGACCGATTTACCAAAAATAAAGTTTGAAACTGTAAGCTACTAGCTAACAAAAAAAGTAAGCGTCCAATGAGAAAGCATATCGTGATACAACAAAATATCAATAGATGTTATATAAGGAGAAAAGACCCGTTTTAATAACGCATTATACTTTGATTACCTTTTCTCGAACAACTTTAAGAGATGTCTCTTCTAAATTAACTGTTTTAAGTAGATCAATTATATTTTTCTTTAATTCAGAATCAGTTGGAGGAGTAGTTACTTTTGTGGATGTTAAATTAGACAGAGGAACATTTTCTTCATCAGAATCAAGTTCTTTTTTCATTTTAGTCGGAATATGTTTATGATCATTTTCATCTTCTGTATCACTAAGTTCATGTTTTTTAGCTCGTTTAATACTAGGTTTAACAGGTTTTTGTTTTTGTCGTTGACTTAAAGCACGTTTCTTTGGTGGCTGCTTTTTTTCGATTGATTCAGCTGCATCTGATATATCACTTTCTGAGTTCTCAGATTCAGACGACATATCATCAGGTTCATCAATATCCTGCTGACTTGAATTATCTATGCTAGGTTCATTTGAGACAGTGTTCTTTTTCGATGGTTTTGATCTCGATTTTTTAGAGGTAATATCTTTAGATTTATTTTTTTGTTTATATTTTTTAACGATCTTTCCTTTACATTTCACAGAATTAGCGGTTGGTTTGAGTAGGAATTCCAGTAAGCGAGAGGCCAACTGTTCTCGAGTACCTGTAACTTCTAGGTTTAAGATGCGGAGAACTTCGCGTAGATCACAAGCAGGGCGTCTGTCAAAAAGAACCCACAGTAAAATGATAAAACAAGTTTTTCCTCCCCAAAAGATAAATCAATACAAACATATTTACAATCATTAAACTTCTCAGATATATATAGGGATGTTTAGAGACCTAACCAGAACTTCAACGAAAATGAATGTACTGAAAGTTACAAGACCTACATCGCTTTACCAGATAAGTTAATATTACTATGTGGGTAGGAAGTGGTGCCATGTTATTTAGCTTTCGATGATGATCCCGATATATCAGTCAAGCTCATAATGTATCAGTGAATCTCAATGATTTGATTTCGCAATGAATATTGTTTGATGTCTTACAGAAAATCAGTCACTTCTGGGATAGCCTGATAGCAACATTTCTAATTGTGATAACCAGAGGTAAGAATTTGAGCTCTTGTAGTGTAAACGGATGTCCAAAAGTCTTGACGACCCTTGTTTATGAGTGTAAATAAATTCACTGAGCTGTAGGTAGGTTACTAAGGAATGAAGTTTTTGAACTCAACAAATGTTTTTAGGATACTTAGAATACGGCTTAAGAAAATGAAATGGTAATGCATCTTATGATTGTTTGATTCCAAATATAGACTTTTTAATGATATATTACGAAAAATTACATCGTCATGCAACAAATTTCTTTTGGGTAAATATTTGAATTACTATTAGTCTATTTAATAAGTGATTTTCGATACCGAAAGACAATTGGCAGAAAGGATAATAAAATAAGATCCATAGCAAAGACATATTGATAAAACTATTACGTTACAATTGATTCTGACCGACAGGAGCTTATTTCCAGTTACCAATGTCAACGGCTGCTGAGATATCAACAATGCAGCCCTGGTACGGTCGAGAGTGAGGAGAGTCAACTCTCCCTCTCGAAATGTTCTCAAGTGGTCACGTGCATACAACCACTGCTAGAGAAGTCTTACTCACTGCCTTCTCGTAGCGGAGGTGTTGTTTACGAAATTGAGAAGACGAAAAGCAAATGTCCGGTGCTTTAATCGGGTTGATAGATACGGAGGATCTACCTAGGGGAGTTGGAAAATCCTGGTTCCAAACCACTGGTGCACATGGGCTCCAGGATCCTGAGGAAACAAACGGCGTATGAACCTAGTGTTGGTTACCGGCTACCATGGGACTGCATCTCCTGACGTTGCTCCCCTGCTTTGTGGATTGGACCTTTGTGTCAAAGGCTCGGGGTTTGGCCTCCTAAGAAAACACCTGCTTCCGTAGGGGCACGCAGGCAGTATCCCAGCCCTCACACCAATCGAATGATTTATGTGGCGCATATCAGTTTGGTGCCTTCTTGTACCAGTTTTCGTGTGTTTAAAATAAATAAATTTCGTACGGTTGGTTAAACAAATCGAAAATTTCAAAAAAACGTGCAATATTTTTTCCTATTTACCTAGATGAATTAACCCACTACTTCTAGCGCTAATAATACCTTGACTATGAGACGACAGACACAACTAACATAGGGCTGAAATAAGCAAATAGCTAGCTTACTGTTGAATATATGTTGATTTTTTTTCGTACGGTTCAGAACCCATTTCGAAACCGAAACCTCGAAATTTGCGTAGATTGCTACGTATTTTGCTTGCAGAGCCAGGTCTACCATATATTATTAAATGCAGTGATTTGAGGCTAGCAGGTTTTGCTTTTCGTATGGAAGCTTCAATGAGTGGGATCTCACCGAGTGCCGTCCCTGTAGCCCCCTCAAATGCTGCTGAGACTGCTTGGACTGCTTTGATCCGTTCCTCTTCCTTGGCCTCATGGGCTCGATTCCATGTTTCAGATAATCTCTGAACCTTCTTACGTTGTCTTTTCTCACCAGTATCAACTTCATGTCCATTTATGGGTTCGAGCTGTTTAACCTCTTCTTCAGAGACTGAGATACCTTCTTCAGATAATATAAATCAAATTGTGAACAAGAGAAGAATAAGACGCATCATATGGCAGGAAATATGTGAAATCAGAAGTAAACGTGATGAAGTATCTTAAAATAAAATGAGAAGAGCCTGTCTTGAATAGTCGGTTACAATATGGATAAAATAATGCTTATACTAATTTGAACTTACGGTTTCGCACTTCTGGAAATTTTTTAACCGCAAGACTATTTGAAAATGAGGTTAACTTACTAACAGGTAAATAGACGAGGAGTCTTTGAAAAAAGTGTGCCATTTCGACCCATCATGTTCCGAAACAAATTAAAAAATAAAAGACTAGATAAAATGTTATGAGTAGAGTTTACTGAACTAGGTGCTTTAATCGTAAGGCTTTCATTATTCTTCCATACGATATCACCGGTTCAAACTTCAAACAGAAAACACCAATTAGGATATCCAAATACATAACTAACATATTTTGTTAACATTAAACTTAGTTGGTTGCTTTCATCTGTCTTATCATCGGATGCACATTTATTATGATTGCTTTCCTCACGAACCTGATTCTTGAGATTATAGTTGCTCATCATTTATCTAAGTGACCGATAAACTGGGTTAATTTATATATCTATTGATTGTTGATTGACATAAGTACTACACTTCTAAAAAAATTTGGTTTTCGTTGTATTCTTTATGTCGTCGTATTTGATAGATAATTGATGTTTATCCGAACAGACAGTTTGTTTGATGTAATGCGACAAAACGAATTTTTTGGTTATGAAGATTCTAAAAGACTTTTCCTATTTAAGGTTTTTACTTGTGATATTGTCTAAAAAGACAACGAAGGCTTCACAATCAAACCACAAGGCTTGGAAATGAACGAAATAGAAAAATAGACAGTCAATGACTTATGGTGATATGTAGGGATATGAAAATCTATTGGATTGGAAACACCAGTGGTAGTGACCAAGGGGTACACTCTCAAAAGAGTTCTATGAATCGACAAAGTATGTCCACACGAACGGATGTCAATAGGTAATCCATTGATCGGTTAATTAAAATAGTTCATAAGGGTCAGTTCATATATAACAAGTGAAGCGCTACAACATTTCGACATTACAGAAGGGAAGACTGAATAAGGCAAATATAGTTTCGAAAGAGTGAAATGGGGAGGAGATAAATAAAGTGAGATGATATCTACACTTAGGATTTAAAAAACGAAAGATCATAGTATTTGTGTTACTGGGACCTAATTTGAGCTATTTTACTCAACGTTTTTAACCAGGGATGAGTACCCAACGTTCTTGAGGGTGGTGTTAGCCAACAGGGATGTAGATAGAGACTACGAACACGTAACAGCGTGTATTCCTATTTCTCCACGTTTTTACTGTACCACTGGATTATATTCCTTAAATAACATAGTCAAATCTTAATCTTTCCGATTACTACTTATACTTTGACTACCCCTACCACTATGAGATTTGAATCGACAATTGTATCTCTGTGATAATGTGGTATGACAACTTGAACTTATGTACGTACATACGAAGTTCTACGTTGTTGCTGACTGACATCACTGTACCACATAGCTGGACAATGTATAAGATAAGTCCAACTGAAATTCAGCCATGAATGCTTGTTACACTTTCAAACTCGGTGACACGCCTGCGTCCGAGGAACCAGAAGTAACTATAGGGGATAACCAGATACTAGAAAGGTAGATAGTGCTGGTTATCTACATTGAATAGGTATAGTTAGATAATTCTGGATGTGGGTTTCAGCACAGTATAGACCAGCGGAATGAGAGTCTACAGTCTTGATGTTAACTACTAACAGCTTCAGTACGTATTCCTAAGTGGTTCTGAAATAAAAAGGTCAGAAACATGGGTGGTATGTGCAAAAATGATGCAAGAGGAATGATAACAAACATGAAAAATATGGGTTGAGCTGAAAATCCGACTGTGAATAGGATTAACTTGATTGTTGTGATTGTTGTTTTCCATATGATGCTATGGAGACGTATTTATTCTTAAAACCAAGAAAAGAAACCAGATTAAGTGAATGTCATGTCAACCTAAAAGTGAGAGGGTTAGGTCCAAAGAGTAGCAGCTTAATGCCAATCACATATGATATTTTAATAGGTAGCCTCTACTGTATTAGTTTTGCAAACTTCAGGCTACCCTACCAGAAATCCATAAAATAGGGCGAAGTGTATACCTGTAGTTGTTTGCCATATTGCAAGGATGGACTCTGGAGATATACAAAAGTAGAATATGGAAAGTATCCGAGTGGTAATAAGTTACATTTAGACATATCTAATTGGACAACCTATTGGCATTTCCACAGATGAAAGTAAATATGATAGTTACAAATCTTCGTGAGCTAGTTTCTTTAAAATGTAATTTCGTCTTATCGAAATAGTCAGTAACTCGGCGAGATTCACCCAGGAAGAAGCACATCAACGCTACACAATTCTTAGTGTTTTGCGCACTTTTACATCTAACGATCAATTACATTCATGAGGAAAAACCGATTTTAGAACGACATATTATAGAGACTACGAAAATTAAAGTCCATTAGTGACTATAATTTATGGACGAACCAATCCGGTTTAGGACATGTATTGGATTTTAGCGCGAAATTCTCCCATCCACTTGGATAAAAAGCGTTTGGGGACTTTCGCTGATGTCAGTTCGTGATGAAAACTTTAAATATTCCTAATCCAAACCATGAACTGTAAATTATAACTCCTCTTCTTCACACAGGTTCATAACTCTCATTTGGTTCTGGATATTAGGTGGACATTCCCAAGGCCACTTCAACGTCTCTCAAAGGTCGTTCACAAATTATAGTTTCACCGTGATTACCTGTGAAGCTCTAGAAATTTGGAATATACAAGATAGGTTTAAACAAATTTGATGCACACTCTCAAATTACCGTGTGATTATTTAACTCGTTGTGCCGTCTAATACGCTGAACCATACTGATGTTACAATATCTTTAGGAACTAGACTGATTAGGTAAGAAATAACAAGGCCACGAGAAAATGACGTGATCCTGGATATCAAAATATGAAACCGTCACTAGTGACAGGTAAGTAAATACAAAAATATCATACGAACCGGGAAGAACATTCTTACTGCTTAGATTATACTTATCATTTTAGAGATGAGAACATTCATGCTACCATCAGCGAACGTGAACAGAATACTCGGCTTTCAAACTTACGTTCTTTATGAGGAGATTCGCTATGACTATCGTCCACTTTGTCTAGAGAACCATCACTGTCCGCAACTTGAGGTGACTCCATCCTGATTAAAATGATCCAAACTACTCCGCGCGCGAGCCGCTTTAAACCTAAGGCCATTCAATATCCAATGGCTAAGATGGTGGCTGCAACTTCTTAAGTATTGCGTGTCAACAGACGTCGGTTCCTTATGCATTCGTATAGGTGGTGTGATGCAAGGATTAAGCATAAAAATGAATTAGAGCGGACTATTCTACTCATAGACTGTAAAGACCATGAGAACATCGTAGAAAGGGAAGGGGGTACCAACTTGGAAAACCCTGTGTAGGTAGATTACCTGTCTATTCGCATAAGGCTCATACGGATAAACAGGACTTGGAGGCTCACGCGTTTTAAACTGAAGGTACAAGTGTTTATATATGAGCGCCGCGAGTTTACTGAATAAAATGAATGAGCTGCAGCCTAGTCGTAATTTTAAACAGTTTTTTCTCTCCTCTGGCTTACTGATGTCTAGAAACAGTTCCGAACGCTTCCATGCGCTCGTGGAACGTTATGCATAAGCCACAAATAAGTTACAAACATGTAATGAGTCCGATAAGAAGTCCACACACACGTCTACATACAAACGGTCAAGGTTGATAAGAGAATAAGCGACAGGGTAAAAATGTGACTTGAAAAGAATGAGTAGATTGATCTGTCCAGAAGCTCGAATAACCTACGTGGGCTTAAACTAGTACCAGCCGCGACAAATTCAGAGCATATCTCTCTGGAATCTCACGATTATACTTCGTACTATGCAGCCGGAAGGACTAGTTACTTATTTTGACCTGAATGATCAGTTGTGAAGACATCAATTTCATAAGTTAATCAACGGTGACCAGGAATCTAAACAGTTAAGCTCGGTAGTGGGATGGCAGTGACTTCACATTATTAAATTGAAAGTACCTATAATACACATTTTTTTACGATCAAACATACAGGCACATCTAGTTCACATGGCAAAGTATTTTCCTTCAAAAAAGAGGTTGATCATAACAGACTGAGTACAAATCAACTTGAAGAGCATTGTGAAGGATTAGATTAAGTAGAATTTAGTTGATCAGCGTGTTCAGTTTATCTTCAGATGTATATTCGATGGTTTTTTGACGAAAAAATGAAAATCATTTTATTTGCGGACGAACAATAAGTGAATGTTAACTGCCCGGATCTATTTATGGATTTGTACTATACATGTATACATATTCATATCGTATAAATGTTAAATAACTATATTATATGTATATTCATATTTCTCTTAGAATGAGCTTCCGTTTCACCTACTGACCATTATTATACGATTTACCATTTTCAGGTTATTCGAAATTTATTAGCCACAGTCTCTCACAACCACAGAAACTTTCGGTCTGATCTTGTATAGTTGTAATTTTCTATTTCACGACACGATAGGGTCTAATTTGCTTGTATATAATATGTATGTTTGAAATACATGATTCATAAAGTAGAGGTTGGTTTTGGTGTTGTGGACTAAATCGGCCGGGTTGGGCGAGAAGCTACTGTCTTTGGGGACCAATATGAACTCAGAGTTGGCCCTAGACTGTTCATACTGGTTTAGACATCATTGGTCTGGACGTATAATTCGGTGTTTTTAATTGCCGATATAGTCATGTGCTAGTTAGTGAGTCATAAGGACATAACAGACCACATTTTTTATTTGTGACACTACATGTAATCACATTTATATGCAATATCTATAGTTTCTCTGTATCATCTGTAAGACAGACGTGATTATTTGGAAGATCTCAACACACACGCTTGCGTTGCTATTCAAATGCACCATATCCCTGTCGTTTATTCTTTTACTTTATTGAACAAGGTCCCTAATTGGAGATTATAATAGTGTTACAGCATCCTTTTAGGCAGTTTTACACTACACTGAAACGTTGACCTGAATTATTGATTAATAATTGATTATCTATCTCGTCACTCCATCGGTTCCAACACGTGCAAAGGAACGTTCGCTAGTCAAACGAACTCATTCGTCGTTGTTGTCTCAGAAGAAGCTTACAAGTAACCCTCAATTCATAGCAATAGTTAGCTTTTTTATTCAATATACCACTTAGTCGTAAATGCCATTAGTTGCTGTTTTTCTTTACTCATAAACAGACACTTTGGCCTGTAGTGTGAGTCTTTTTCAGTACATCACTAATTACTGTGTTGTTATATCTTGAATAGGTTTTTTCACTGGGATCCACAACAGGCTCAGTTCAATACTGGATAGTCAATTCATACACAAACTGATGCACATTCCAGTGATGAACCCACAATCTTGTTAAGACTGACGGTACGAGCATTGCATAGACAGTTTGGAGGCCAGAGTAGCCCGAATCATTTATTTATACAAGGTTTCAGAGAAGCGGTCGAGATAATTTTATTCCTTCTCCAAAGGCAAAAGCTTCACACTTTCTAATATAATCAGAAACTGAATAATGATGTTCAGTTTACCAGGTAGTCTAACAAACATACTTTTTGACCGCTTTATGTTTTCAGCAGTTAAGTTGTGCAACTTGAAAATTATCTTTTGAACTCAATTAGACTTAACACTCATACATCCCTTTCACCTAAGATTTTTTACTCAGATTATAGTTGTCCAGATTTCACGTGAATGTAGTAGTAGAATTAGTTATGATGGAATCACAACTAATATTGTGAACATTTTACAATCTAGTGGGTATTCAGGATTACTAATATCACATAAATCCCCATAATAAACTGCAGGGTTGCTTACTTTTGAATTTAACACATGTTCGCTGGAGAAACAAGAGCTATAGAGTTAGACGCCACAACAGAAGTTCATTTTTGCACCTGAAATTCCCACTTTTGTCAGTCCTTGAAAAAAGGTTGACTGATAACTGGTATCTTTCAGTCTAAATATTTAAGTTCAAAATATTTATGTTTTACTCATAAATTGGGTATTATCGGTGTGTAGTTCTAAAAAGTAATTATAATAGTAATTCTCAATATACATCTTTGATTTGTAGGTATCGAGGGCGAAAATGCAAGATAGCAGACCAAAGTTGGTTTTCAAACAAACATTCAGGGTTAAAATTGCGTCCAAACCAAGTTCAAAGCTACGGTAATACAATTATGTGAAAAATACTAACAAATGATATTCACAATACCAGTTCATGGTAAGTTAACTACTTGGAGTACCTACTGTAACACTGTCTGAACCTGTACATTTATGAATGTTTGAGTAGATCAACACAATGTTACTTCATTGAGCCAGTTTTCTTAGTGGTTATCAATGATCAACCCAATGCTTTCTGTGTGCAGAAAATCTTAAGGTATAGTGAGATAAAGATTTCGGTAAGTATCGATGCCCATCAATTGGGATTCAATTGAATAATAATTGGCCAGACTTTAAGAACTTGTTTCCACTAAAAGCGGTCAATGATGGATGTCATTTGTGGACAAAAGTGATGTAGTCAAGCCATTCTTTAGGATTAACTCTATCATCACTTTCATAGCACTACAATTGATTTCAGTTTACTGTCTGGGTATCTCGTATCCAAATAACCACTAGTATGTCACGTAAATATAATGTTGAATGGAAAAAGTGGACCGCGAAATGTATTGACGATGCGTTCTATTTACACAAGCAACTAAAAACACAAGTATATGAGCGACGGGCAAGCAGACGTAGCACGAATTTGACACATTAGTCTACTTATTCTAATTAAGGGTGGTCCATTGAGTTACTGACAAGCAAGCGTCGAGGGTTAGGGCGATAACTTTAATCTACTAATGATTTCAGAGTTGAAAATTCCGCTTGTATCAGGCCTTTTACGACCAAGGACGAGCCAATCAATCAGTGATACTATCGTTGTTCTCTTACTCTCGCAACTCATACTTATGTTTTCAATCTTATGCTGGATTTTCTATCCCACTATAATTACCTATGACACTCTAAGTCAGGCTTTAATATTATGCCCCAGTGACTGATATTAGATAAAAAGTGAGAGTAAAAAAATATCATCGTAAAAGGTGTAGTTGTTAGCGTTCCTTAGCACTTCATTGTCTTTTGGTTCTCTTTCCATTTTAAAAAATAGCCCCGAAATCGCCTCTATCATTTGAAACCATTCCATTTTATAACACATCAAAACCCACTGCTATTTATGACCGTACTCTCTAATATCAAGACTTGATCATATTTCAATCTAGTAACGGAAGCCTGTTTTATTTCTATCTACCAATTTACATATCCTTGTCTGTGTTACGTCCAAGTTTTGCTCGTTCCAGTTATTGAAGTACGGACTATCGATCTACTCGCAAATTACGAACCCAAATTAACAACAGAACCAAGTCCCAATTTAGATACCAAATGTATTCGTAATTCACAAGTAATCGACCAAATGTCGTTCTAATAACAATAATTATAACAATTACAAAACAAACCTTCAATTTTGTAGGTTCCCGGAGCAAAACTCCCAAATACCAAACCAAAGACAAAGAGAGCACCAAAATACCAAACCAAAGACAAACCAAAATGTCCGAAGTAATGATATAAACAAACAAGTTCAAAAGTTAAGTAAAACAATTACATCCAAAAGCACAGTAAATTATTAATGTACAATAAAAGGTTTTAATCCGCCAAATGTCTTCAGTTCTCCCGTAACACTCCCGACCAAAAGAACCTTGGTTCTTTTCACAGACAAATAAATAAACAACAAGAATCCAAGTATATGCATCACAAACAATCAACAACAAACACTCACTATACCAACAATCTCGTGATCCCTAGGACTTACACCAGTACGCCTAGGGATCCGAATAGCTACCTAATATCTACAACTTCTAGACGCAGTTTTCTAATATCTCTTACCAAGATCCCTACGCTTGTCCGCAACTCCATCGGTCTTAACCTATCACTATTAGGTGTCACTTTCATTACCAGACCTAATAACCATTTGTCTTTCTCTAAAAACCCAGTACATGTCGCCACCAAGTTACTCTCTCCTATGTTCATCTCTGGTTGAGTCCATTTGTGTCTAAGTTGCAACAATGAAACATATTCCTTAGACAAACGTTTCCAGAATATTTGCGCCAACATAAACAATCGCAATATCAACCATCTAACAAAATGCTTCATCCTCCATAGAAGCTCATATACACTAACGTAAATATGGATATATAAACACGTATAGAGGACCAATCCATTAATTCCTTTATTTACTGCGAACTCTCTATTCTGATTCCAAATCGTAACATTGGACCCTTCTAGTTCTTTTAGAAAATGAATAACCATAACACATGGCTTCAGGCACCATTGCATAATCACACACAAACAACTATTTGAGTCCGCAGAACATAAAGCCCATCTTCCAATCATCATTGGATTTAAAGTTCGTAACGGTGAATTCGTTATCTTCACCTTGCTAGTGGTATCAGACGATAACATTTCAATCTCTTTCCGAAATACTATGCGTTGGACATATAGAATTAAATCTAAACAAGCGAAATTTAACCCATCAAATCTAAGCATACCCACCTGTTGAGACAGATCAGTTCTACCAGAACGCATTACCAGTAAATATCGCTTAAATCGGGTTAACCACGCAGCAGCCTTAAGTAATCTAGTCCAATCTGAATAATAATTAATAAGTTGATCAACAGTGGATTTTTCAGCCATTACATGCGCCGACATTGCTTTCTTTATTTCCAATAGATGAGGGTCAGGACCTTGTACATCAGCGGCAGGCCAACACTCCTTCGGCTTCTTGAGAAAACGTGGACCCTCCTCCCATACCTTGACATCATCAATGTCAAACTTGACCCCTCTGGATGCAAAGTCTGATATGTTTTCTTTAGAAGGTACGAATCTCGATTGGTCCACCTTAGTAAGACTCTGAATAGTCGAAATTCGATTTGCTATGAATGTTTTAAACTGGCTTTTCTCATTTCTAATATAGTGTAAGACAATCATAGAATCCGTCCAAAAATTAACCTCTGCAAACTTAATATCTAATTCTGACTGCAGCTGGGATCCCATGCGAGCTGTCAAAACTGCTGCCGTAAGTTCCAAGCGCGGTATAGTTTGGACCTTCGAGGAGGCTGCTCTTGCCTTAGCCGTTCGTCGTATATCACCGTCTTCCCACCACAATAGACGAAATGCTCCCCTGTCTTGTCTCGGAATCTTTACTTGAAGAAACATCTCTTCGATATCAGCAGCTAATGCTACGTTACCTAATCTGAATCGTAGAAGTACACCAATTAAACTATTTACAGTATTCGGTCCTCTCAAAAGCTGGTCATTAAGAGAACAACCTTGATAGACAGCCGCACAATCAAAAACAATTCTCAATTTTCCAGGCCTTTTAGGGTTGATAACAGGATGATGAGGAATATACCAACAAACAGCATCATAGTCAAATCCCTCTTCACTGGCTTCAATGATGTAGCCCTTTCTTAAATGTTTATTCATCACAACTTGATATTTCTCCAAAAGACTGTTATCTTTCATAAACCTCTTCCTTAAGCATTCTAGTCTGCGTTCAGCCAGTTCCAAATTTTTCGGTAGTCTTGGCTTATCATACTTCCATGGTAGACCAACTTGGAAATGACCACCCTCCAATCTAAACGAACTGCTAACTATTTCTAGAGCTTTTTTATCTTCAACAGAATATCCATTACGAAACGTATCTGTATCCTCGAACTCATGATCATATAATCTTCCTAAATCTCGCAAAATATCATTGGTGGAACAATGACACAACTGAACTTGATGTAGAGACCTTGATACTCCCTTAGGACCTATAATCATCCAACCAAGATGAGTACGCACAGCAAACGGATGCTTCCTGTCCCCCAGACGTTGTTCCAGGACCCAATGTGCATCCGGAGCATCACACCCAATCAATATTCCTACAAAATTACTTTGCAATCTCGGAAGGGTTATGTCCTTAAGATGTTTCCACCGTTTCAGTTGGAGTTCGGTTAAAGGTGCTGCATGATCGATTGGAAGTTTCTTGGTCGTGTAAACCTTGTTGATCCTTATAGAACCCTGTTCATCTAATGAAAATACCTCTAAATTTACCTCCAAACAATCACAATTGGTAGTTCCGTTCACAGTCGCCACTCTTATCGAAGTCTCTTTACCTTTGATACCCAACTGATTAATTAATTCTTCACATACAAGAGAAGTGTCCGAACCACTATTTAGAAGTGCGTATGTTTCTAAACATCCTTTGGGACCGTATAGTCTGACTGGAACGATCCCCAGACAAACCCTTGAAGAGTTCCAATCCTTAGCTAGGTTCAACACATGGTTATCAATACTATCAATATGCAATAATGAATTATGTCTAACCTTGCAATTCTCAACGTCGCACTTGATGCCTGAGTTGCATGTCATAGCTATGTGACCTTTCTTCAAACATAAGTAACATAGACCACGTTTTCTTACCTCCTGCCTCCTTTCTCTTACATTCATTTTTGCTAACCTTGGACAATTTTTCACCTCATGATCACCTTCGCAGATTTCACAACGTGATACCTTGACTGAGCTATTTGGGTCTCGTCTAATTGCATGAAAGCGTGATCTATCAGCTTGGCCTTCAGAATTCCTTTTACCGAACCTTGAGTTACAGTGTACTAATCTACCATAACGGGTTCGGGCAACTCTGGCCCTCTCTTCTACAAAGACCACAAATTCTTCAAAGCTCGGCTCCTTCCCATGCATCATGATCTTATCGGCGACTTCCACCCACTTATTCTGCAATTCTAGTGGTAGGCGTGAAACTATTACCTCCAAATTAGCCGTAGAATTAACGTCAGACATATATCCCATTTGCTTCAACGTTATACATACATTACGCAACTTAATCGCAAAGTCAGTTAATACGTCAGCTGATCCTCCGACAGGTTTATGGTTTAATAACTCAATAATTAGTTCTCGTGCAACAAGATGTTCTTTACCAAATAAATCATACAAAATTCGTTTAGCCCTATCATAGCCCAAATCACTGGGCAAAGAAACGCAAGATTCAATTGCTGTTCTGGCCTTTCCCTTGCAATAATATAACAAATACGACAACAATTGGCCCTTATCTGACAATTTACTTTCTATAAGGCTACTAAACTGACTAATAAAACGGTAATACTGACCCGGTTGCCCATCAAAGTACATCATATCGATCTTAGGTAAAACCATGTTACTAACCATTGTATGTAACGTGTCCTTCAGCTCACCGACCCAATCGACATTTGAGATGTTACATACCTCCCCTGAGTGATTATTACACCCAGTATCATAATCCAAATAATTTTCCACTTTAGCATTTATCCCACATTTATCTACGGGTAATCGTTCATCGTCCTCGATAGCCTTGCATTCTAGTTCAGCGATATCAACCTCTTCTTGTAGATCTAACATCTTAAGTTGCCGTTCTAATTCGAGTCTCTTCTCTAAATTCCTTTTCCTCAGTAATGCTTTATCTAATTTTAATCTAGAAGTACTTAGCTGGCTAGAGGACATACTATTAAGACTAACATTATCACATTTATCATCATTAACATCAGACATACCACAAACAGCTTTAGGAATTTTACCATCCATTTCGTCATTTTCCTTCAGCCTTTTGCTCCGTGTTTCCATCGTATTTGTTGTTCCAAATAATCAATTACCAAAACAAATCCGAATTAATCCAAACGAAATCGACCAATAAGACCAGGAATTTGGACCCAAAATATCCAGAAAATTCAAGGTATGAACACAGAACCAATAATTGAAGAACTTTATGTTACGTCCAAGTTTTGCTCGTTCCAGTTATTGAAGTACGGACTATCGATCTACTCGCAAATTACGAACCCAAATTAACAACAGAACCAAGTCCCAATTTAGATACCAAATGTATTCGTAATTCACAAGTAATCGACCAAATGTCGTTCTAATAACAATAATTATAACAATTACAAAACAAACCTTCAATTTTGTAGGTTCCCGGAGCAAAACTCCCAAATACCAAACCAAAGACAAAGAGAGCACCAAAATACCAAACCAAAGACAAACCAAAATGTCCGAAGTAATGATATAAACAAACAAGTTCAAAAGTTAAGTAAAACAATTACATCCAAAAGCACAGTAAATTATTAATGTACAATAAAAGGTTTTAATCCGCCAAATGTCTTCAGTTCTCCCGTAACAGTCTGTTCCATTACAAATTGTTGAGCATTATTGAGAGCTTATATCTAAATACCGTGCCCCTTATATTTCCCATGTCTTGTTATTTTTTAGCGTCGCGTTCTCAGTGTACAGCTATGGAGCTTCTTACTCCAGGAATAAAGTTAAAAGAACTTAATGTATATGTCTTTTAAGGTCACAGCACATATCAAGCGCCTTAATAGTGACCTTATTATATCTTTAAACATCGTCGATATTTATATTGCATAAATACATAGCACTACCACAATTCTAACACACTAATGTCAAGTTTGAACCTGCTGTGCGTTTACCGAATTCACAAAATGAACGCGACACCAGTTCTGAAACATTATAAAGTCTGTACTGATCGTGCAACACTGACGCATAAGCCTGACTATTAAATAGCTGGCACATCTTGACGAATACACTGTTCTTTTTTAATTGATTATCATTATTGGTAACTCGACACAGTAGATATTTTTTCGCCTCTTCTTTCCCTTCTAAACATATTTTATTCTGAAACATCCAAAATCTATAACTAAAAACAAATCATCTTATGTTATACTTAAGCAAATCAAGTACTCAGATTCATATCATCTTCACCTCATATATATATAAAACAGAACTTTATATTTGATTATCCCTTGCAATTAACTGTGACTTTCATACCATCATTCCTAATTGTTATTGAACGAATATTCATATAAGTATCAAGTTTAAATCTGAGTTCTATTACATAACTTTACATATATTCTTCCGAGTGCACTAAAAAACCAACAAAATTAATGGTTTGCTTCAGAAGTCGATATTCATCACCTTCTTATTACCATGATCGAACACACTCACAAGGTTTTCATTTCTTTTCTATCCCTTTTCTCTTTCTAAATAAATAATATTTCTAAGATTTCGAAGTTTGTAATTGAGACAATAACTTGTGTTACACTTAAATTAATTTCTCAAACTCTTTCAGTCTTCACTATGCATATATGACTCATACATATTGATATTTGGTTGTCCTTAGCACTTAATCGAGACTTTTATAGCATCACTTCAAACTATGACTACACAAACACTTATTCTGACGTCATAGTTTACTGCATTAACAAGTTATTTCTCATATTTATTTATTCTATTTTATTTTTGTTACTCAGTTGGCGATACATACATAGTCGTGTTCATAAACAGGCTTATTAAACTATTTGTGTATTTCGCCATTTCCTTATTTGAAGTCAACTCAATATTCTTCTCAATTATACAGAGCCTGATTTATTATTATTACTCCATTCTCTTATTAATTCCTCTTTATTTCAAGTACGGCAAGTTTAATGCTAACATAATTAAAACTGTAACGAAACCCGAAATGCTTTCTTCACAGCACTTATGTACCCATAAAATGTTTGTGAATAATAATGATAGTAACTAGTTTGAGGTACAGTGTGTAGGTAGGCATTCAATTTAGTTATATATGAAGATAGGAAGCTCATACAAAAGACGCTCAAGGTCGACGCGTAAACATTGGATAAGAACTAACACATATTCATAGAATACGTTTGTTTGAGGATCATGAGTATTTCATGCAGGTCATTACATATTTCCCATTTTAGAAAGCGGATCGTATTACATCTACCAAGTATTCTAGCCGTCATATCTGTTAAATTGAGGTAGACAAAGCATATGTCATCATGTTGTTTCTCTCAAGAAGTCTAGGCTATCTGACCGTCAATCCAACGGAACAGGTTACAATGATTATGTATGACTCTATAGAAAGTATCAGGAAAGTATTAAGAAACTTATTGCTGTCTTATGACAGTTTCGCAGAAAAATAACCAACGAGATACTTATAAGTTAGGAAATAAGGGTCTGTAGTGTTATTGGTCCCTAATCACACGATCTTCAAAGCTGAACATAGAATTATCAAAAAGATCCACTTCCAACATGTAAAGCTAAGAGAAGGTCAACAATGACAAACGTTGGAACAAGGGTTCAAAAGGGTGTAGCGGTATTGGTTCTAGCCACGTAATCCTCAAAGATGAACACAAAGTGGCTGGGATAATCGATATTCAACATTTAACGCGGGGAGAAGACCAACGATGGATAAGGCGTGGGGAATTAATTGAATTCAATTAGGCGTCCTCATTCTATATAACTTATCTTTGCTCAGATTAAATTTTTTGTTCTATTTTTAGCCTAAATGTGTTCTTTAGAAACTCCGGACATCAAATTGTTAGTTGTGATGATACAAGTCATTGTAGACAGCGATTTCACTTCCACGTAAGTTCTTATTAATCAGGCAGTTACACCATGACAAATCGACAACTTTAGGATTATGCTGATTATTATAATAATACTGATAACGACGTAGAACATAGTTCTACGATGGCATGGCTCGGTCATACAACGTGGTCACTCTATGTAAAACCTCTTTGATCTTGTATTAAATACATTATTTTCTACCCCGCCAAAATGCGTCCTTAGGGAATTCTAGACATTATATACCTGATTCTTACGATACGATTAGTCAGAATAGTCAATTATGTGACTTCCACGTAAGATCTTGTAGATTAGGCAGTCACATCGTGAGATGTCTACAATTTTAGGATCAGGTCTATTACTATGGTAGTGCCAATACTGAAGTAGTTTTTTTAATTTCAAAGGTCCATAAACTCGTGCATATGGTACAGAAATATTTCAAGAGAAATGATTACTGTTGGTCATGAGCCACTTCATACTGAGCTATCTGCAATACGTACTGCATTAGAGCATGCACATGAGATCGTGAATTCAGAATCCCAAGGGAAATGTTCGTGGAAATTTGTGATAAGTGAAGGTACTAAACATAGTGTATATACTATAACTTCTTGCCTCTGACATTGGTATGCACAAGTAAAAAAAGAACGTGTCAGCGTAGAGTTAAAGGGAGAATACAACGTACACGTGCTAAGTAGTTGTACCGTAACTGAAATGGAATGAGCAGTTGTTTACTACAAACGCTTCATTTGTTAAGAAAGGTATGACAACACGAAACGCTCACCAACACATCAAATCCTTTTGATCTCACCAATCATTATTTCATGATTATTGAAGGGTATTAAGTTCATCGTCTCATTTTTCCTACCCTATAGTTACTATTCGGCATGTTATTTAAGCCACTCTTTTTTCCTGTTTAATAGATTGTATTAATTGTTTATTTTCCACATCAACAGTGTTAATTTACGATTTAAAAATAGATAAGGTTTATCAAGTCAAATAGCTTACTTGTTCTGACATTGGCTGGGCGAAGACTTTGTTCTAGATAGTCTATTGAATAGTTCAGAATTACGTCTATAGGAAATTACTTCTTACACAGTGCATACTTTCTGCTGATTCTATCGAGGGTATGGATGATATTCACAGTTATTCTAAACTTACTACAGTTCTTTTTGTGGTTTTTCCCTAGTTCTTCTTTTCGTCATCAAATAGATGTTTATTCGTCTATAGTCGGATGCTATCAGAAATCCTCAACTATTCTTCAATGCAAAGACAAGATTTTACCATCTCATGATGAAGATATTGTATATTGGTGGGACGACCTTCAGGAAACCGGTCTGTCTAACCCACATTTTTCATGGGTAAGATTACGAAGTTGGTTGTTTGTGGACCGACTGGTTCTGGGAAAACTTCTCTGATTGAACACTGCATATATGGGAACTATTTTGAAAGGCAACCGGAAGACTTTGTAAGTTATATCGTTATGTTAGCATTCTCGGAATTTTAACCTTGGTTCTATTTTCTAATGCAACAGAGTTCATTATCGACAATCAATCTCAAGATAAGTGTGCAGTGACTATTAAGAGCTTTAACTGCCTTTTTTATTTAATTAATCTGGAAATAAAGTGCTTTGCACCTTAATCCTCAAAATTCCCCAAAATGGATCAAATTTTCCCCAAAATTGGGAGGTTGGGCAAGCTTGTCTTGTCTTGTCTTCAGTAATAAGGATAGTAGGTTGGTGAACCTGTACTAATCGTGACACACTGCTTTCCAGTGAAGGTCCAGCTTCTCTTTGAAAGTATTCACTGATGGGGCTGATACCACTTGTTCGGGTAAGGCGTTCCAATCATTGACTACTCGATGAGAAAAACGGGATCCTACTTTAAGTTTACTAGATGGCGGTTAGTGAAATTTCTTGCTATGACCTCGGAGATTATTAGTTATGGAGGGAGCACAAAGATAAGACGTATTAACACCCAAATCATAATTAAAGATACGAAATGCTAGTGTAAGGTCACCTCGCGTCCTACGATACGACAAAGGGGAAAAGCTCAGGCGTTTTAAACACTCATCGTAAGGGAGTTTATAAAGACCCTTCATTAGTTTTGTTCCCACACGCTTTAGTGAGTTAGTATCCTTTACAAGACATGGGCTAGCTGCTTGGATACAGTACTCTAAATGTGGTATTATGTAGGTGGGATATAAAATTCGGAACGTTTCCTCGTCAAAAGATTTGGACGCTCGGCAAAGTAACCATAACGCACGAAAACCTTTGACAGCAGCTGCTTTGCAATGCGTAGTTGTTTTTAAATCATGACAATACTACTCCTAAATCTTTATGCTCTTGAACTCATGGAAGAGGTTTACCCTCAATAGTGTAACAGTAACTATTACCGTGACCGGTGTGCATTAGAACACTCTTCCTAGCATTGATTTCTAAGCCCTACTCTCGAGCCCATCTAACTAAATCGTCTAAGTCAGCTTGAAGATCTAGATGATCAGCCTCACTTTTTATTCTCCAGATTTTTACATCATCCGCAAACAATAATGTCGACGACCTAAGCAACAGCGGTAACTCATTAACGTAGAGAAGGAAGAGCAGAGGGCCTAAGATGGTGCCTT